GCCCCTTGACCCCTGGAGCCGGGAGAACGAGAGAGTATGTAGGCGGTTGGTGGTTGGTGAATGGATCCAAGCAGTGGTCCCCACAATCGCCTGCGCTGGGCGGGGTTGTATGTTTATTCCGTGGCTCCGTCGAAGTGAGCTTATGCCGCCATCTTATGCTTGGCTCTTACATACGCCGGTGCTATTCATGTCTGGAGTTATCGTTGATATTTAACTCACCTGCTTTGCCCCGCCTGGTCATCTTCCAGTCTCTCTCTCCAGCCCTCCCGGATTGATCGACAGTTCAGCAAACTACCCTACATACCTTCCAAGACAATGGCATCCCCAGTCGACGCCATCACGCACGTTGTGTTGGTCCAGGTCAAGCCGGACATTTCGGCTGTCGAACGAAGATCGGTAGGCCTCTTCCCATGAATCACCCAATTAGTTCTCTGTCACATCCTGAGGTTGACCCAACCTACACCGCCCCTCCTTTTGAGATCCGGGAGTGTGTGAGATGACCATGGGGACTGAGCTGGAAGTTAATTGCAACGTAGGCCTTCGAGGAATTCTACGCCCTGAAGAACAAGTGCCTCAACGCAGAAGGAAAGCCCTACATCAAATCGATCCTTGGTGGCAAGGACAACAGCCCTGAGGGCCTCCAGGATGGTATCACCCACGTCTTCATCGTTGAGTTTGAGAAGTCGGCAGATCGAGATTACTACGTCAAAGACGACGCGGCGCACAAGGCCTTTGTCGAGACTCTGAAGGGCGCTGTTGTCAAGGTGCAGGTTGTGGACTTTACGCCATACCGGCTGTGAGGGCGGGGCTGAGCGGTCTCGTGGCTCTGCACTTTGTGTCTTGCTAGGAACGTTGCAGATTGAGCCTCGGTAGCGATCGTAAATCAACATGAATTTTAACAATGAAGGGTATGGTGATCAACATTTTGAATGAATGTCATGCTTGAGATCTCTTGTGTGGAGCGTGGTGATATGGAAGGCAAGCCTAGGAGGAGGACAAGATGGAGCTGTAGTGGCTTGGAGGGCTTGCTTCCTTGTCTAAAGCCGCTACATTCCACAGTGTCTGGGATGATAGGTATAGAGGCAGACAGCCCAAGAGATTGAAGTCAGCGCCTTAGAGTTCTCCCTAGGGGCCACTAAATGCCAAACAAGCTTACCTTGGGTGCGTACCAGCATGGCCACTGGTGCTGGCAACACAGCTGGACGCTCCTTCTGGCTGCCCACTGCGAATCGCAATATTAGGCATTGTTTAGCGAATTGATAGACTGGAGGCAATACGTCATTCAGCCTGCCCCACATCCCCCGCCTAACGGGAGCACAGCACAGTAACACCAGCAAGTATTGAGCGGTTCCTCAGTGGGGGTTCTCAACCTTCTGGAGGCGGCGACCGCCTGCCGAGTACCTGCGATTACTTGCTGCGGTGATCAACTCGAGGAGCACTCACACACACACATGGATGCATGGGCGCCTCGTAATACTAGACCCTCTTGCTCTCCTTTCAACATCACGCGCCTTGCTTGTGGTTGAACACACACATCCCGCGTCCCTTCTTCATGCGCCCGCCACCCTGATTCCACCCATTGCTCTCTGCCTGTTTGCCTCTCAGCTATAAGACCATCAACGCCTGCATTGATCTAGCGGGTGGGCACGAGGCCGAGCCATCCTCACAGCCCGAGATTCGCATCGTCTCAACCGCACCTCACCTCGATCCAACACGCTACGACAGACACCTAAATCGTCGCATACAGACCAGGTCCCGATACGAACCTACTCTCCATCCATCTGATCGTACCACGTATGTCTCTCCCTCATCTGAGTCTACCCATACAGACCTTTGGGGGATTGTCAGTTCAGAGTCGGGGCTCACAAAACTCCTTACAGACAGAACAAAAAATACCACCGAGGGACGGCGTAAGGGATAGAATCCCCCCACGACCGAAACGATGGCGCAAGCTTCCCATCCAACACTTATTAATCTCCCACCCCCCGACTCTAATCCAGAGACTCCATCTGAGATGCCGTGCGTTTCTACTCCATTGAGCCACCTCACACTCCTTTTCCAGCATCATCTACACTCCTATGATCCTTCTCTTCGAACTCCGAGCTGAAATTGATTGATTAGGGGTACGCCTACAAGCACCACCACATCTCTCAGTGCGCTCTCGACAACCGCTATCAAGGATGGCCACCGTGGTCACCTCCCCAACAACCCGCTCGACCGTGGCCACCAGCACAACCCCTCCACAACTAGCCTCGAAGCCGAACGGGCTGATCGCATTTCTCGACTCGCCGGCCTCGAACGCGTGTCCACACTCCGTGCGCCTCCCCAAATCCAGACAGGCGGATCTACTGGCGCTTCGTCACTGTCTCCCCAAACAACGCCGACGTCTACCGGCTTCCCTCCAAACTACCCCGCCACCCACCCGTTGACACCCGCCTACTTTGATAACAATGGCCAACCAGTCGCCGTTACCAAGATGAGCACTGTAGGGACCGCTAGTGCGACGGAGAGCCATGTTGGCGAGGGTGATGATGCGAGGACAACAGCTGGCGAACGCGATGAGGATATGTTCAGTACAGATACAAACTATCGCGGTGCTGGTTCAGTAGCCAGCACAGCGCCGGACCCTGATGCTATGGACGAAGATCTGGACCGACTGGGTCCCGCGTATGATGACCGGATGAGTGATGATGGCTCTGCATCATTGGTCGGCTTTGGTGAAGGTGCTGGAAGCACCGTTTCTGGACCTATTTACCATCGACGGCCCGTACCAGGCTCAGCACCTTCGTGGAATTTGGAGCGCACAAACTCAGGGCTGAGTGATTCTCGGAGGGATCGCGATACCCCGATGGCAGGAGGCGGCGAAACCCCCGTCACACAGGCAGCAATTCAGGAACGTCGAGATGCTCGGATGATAGACGGGGTTGCGGCTGATCATTCTCAAAATCCGCGTGAGACTGACCAAGGTGGCTTCGTCGATACCACCTTCCGCGGACCTGTCCCCGAAACGAGATCGCATGTTCAAGACTAGGGGATATTGGATTTTCTCATTATGTTGCAACGTTGAATATGTTTCCGATATCCAGCCAGCCTATGGGGTAGTTTTGGGCTCTTCCTGAGCCACAGAGACGCTAATAGCTCGACCTTGTTCGCGTAGAGGGACCAATGGAAGACCTGTGCGGTATGGCGTTGGGGGTGATATGAAATGTTGGGTTGAATGCAGGTGGCAAGAGGGAAAGAGGCATAGACAGAAACAAAGGAGGTTGTCTTGATTTCACACAGGCCGGGTTTTCCTTCTCACCTCGTGCGCCGTTTCTCTTCCTAACCGCATTTGTATTCTATCGATTGTCAAGTGTTCGCTTTATGTGTAACTTCTCAATGGGCCAAAAGTAGGCTCGTGCCTTGACGATTTGAAGGTTCGTTTAGCTGGCTAGTTAAGTTCCGTTTCTTGAGAGACCCAAATAGCTTATACACGCCCAACGTTGGTTCTCGTCCTCTTGAATTTGCAGTTTCCCAAATGTCAGAAGTGTAGGGATAAAAAGCCACTTCTAAACCTGCTCAATATCAAACATATCAGATTGCACTATTCGATAGGGAGCCAAGCCTTCGTCTCCGTATCCAAAGCCTCGTCGTAGAAGGCGTTAGGGTATATATGGTGGTCATAATAGTTAATCAGAATTAATCAGAAGGAATACGACCCTTCTTGTCTAATATTAGGTGGGGTTCTGTCTAAGGTATGTTTTTATCTGATGGGCCGCGTCGACTCTGGACCATCTTTCTATAATCTTGGCCATCTTACAGAGCGACAGCGGCCTATGTTTCTGGTACCGGTCTTCAACCAGCCCGCTAGCTGTAGCTTTTATTATCGGTCCAGTTTGGTTTGCGAGGGTCGTCCATGGATCTCGATGAGCAGATCGAGAAATGTGACCTCCTAAAGCTAGCCCCCCTAATGGATGGGAGATATAGCTCGGAACGTATATGTGCGCAGAGGAGTCTGCGAACGAGGAATACTATGGGCCGGTTTGCCCAACCAAGTTCTCACCCCCTGGCGAGTCAATCGCAGAGAGAAGTGGTCCTGCTGTGGATAGCTTCCAGTCACTTTCACCCACTTGGAACCAGCGTGGCGCTGGTCAAGACGGTGATACTGAATGACTTGTCTAGGCGCGCATGCCATGGCTTTGCTTTGTTTTTGGTTGGCAGCGCACCGCATCTCGCATCAAGTCAGATCCCTCACTGTGGAAGTAGTGAGGTGTTGCGTCAATGCAGAGGATAAAGTTATAAAAATGGAATAACAGGTTTTGGTCAGGTATTTGAGAAGCATACAGGAGTTTGGCAGGTATCTTGAGAGTAATAGAGAAAAGAAGAGAAAATAGAGAAAGAGAGGAGGAGATGGTAGAGAGAAAGATAAGATGAGCATCTAAGAACGCCCTATTACCGATCCCAGTCATGGCATCAAGCCACAGCTCCTCTTGCCCTAGAAATCATCAGGCGCTGGTAGCCCGGAACGAAACGTAAATCAATGTCGCCAACCATCCAGTGATATTCGAGAAGCAGAATTCCGCTCATTATCTTCTATCCGTCCCCTTATATCATCAAACAAAACGCCAGCCGTGAAACGCGTCATTGACAGATCGAAAAAAGAAAAAGAAGCCATCACGCCACCGCCCATTTATTCAAGTCAAAATTCAGAATCGTCGTTGCGTCCAGAATGTCGAACGGTTTCAATCATTGTATGCGCGTGAAACTGTTGATATTGGTTGCATATGTGGAGTGTCCGGGAGGACAGTTGTTTCTCTAACCCAGGAGGTGCCTTCCAAATGGTGGACCAAGGATAGATGAGGGATACCTAGTATGTAATAAAGCACTGCGTACCTTGAGAGACTCTATGCCGGGAGGAATTCACGTGATTTTGAAAACCTGGTCCAAGCATTCCTTGTACTTTTGTGAGAGTCGGAGGGCGTCATTTGAAGAGTCGCCTCTCCTCTCTGATGGCCTTAGTCTCAGGTGCAGAGGATGTCGATTCCCAATCGCTGAGCGACGCTCTGCCAGTCCCAGACTGCTACCCATTCACCTTCATCCATAAGGGCCCACACAGCTTCGAGGAGCTCTGCGATCCGGTCACAGTTACGAAGACCTGTGTACCCTCTCACGGCTTTCAAGGCCTTGCGTAAGCGATCGCGTTGCTCAGTGGCGAAACAAGCAATGCCCACCAGCATGCAAGGAATGAGCAACAGAGTCTGGGCTGGCTCGGAAGAGCTGAAGGTTTCAAGGATGTTCAGAGACTCCTCAACAGCAGTCGTGAGACGATGATCATCGCTGGGGCGACGCTTAGGAGGAGGCGATTGGGTAAGTGATGAATCCAACCCACTCGAGCTCGATGAAGATGTGTCACCCTCATGCATTGAGTTGTTTCGGGACGGATTCCGGGACGAGGGGCAGCTGTGTGGCATCCCATTGCCGGGTTGTGAATGCAACGAGCTAAGGACAGGAGCTGATGCAGTAGAGACGATACTCGCAGCCATCGAGGGTCGTCTTTGTGGCGTTGAACAAAGTGAAGACATTGAAGAAAAGCTCGAGGGCCTTTGTCGGAGAGGCATTGAAGGAGGATATATCGTTCGAAATAGATAGATGAAGAGCATCTGCTTGTACAACAGGCCTACACGATTGCGGCTATCTCCGGGCGGCCAGCCGGGCACCCATTCCTGTATTGCCGTGTTGATTTCTGCAGCACGAAACAGCATGATGTAATCAACCGGTGGGTCGTTGGAGATGGCTATATTATCTCGAATCGTGTTCCTTAGTGTTGTGATTTCTGTCAGGTGGTGCAGCAGCCCATCAGCCACCCCGAGTAATCTAGGAGTCTGAATGGATGTTGGTGTCTGCCAATCCACCAAAGAAAGACGACCGGTTTGCGTGTCCGGGTGCCACATTAAATCGTCAGCATAGATGTGGTACTGAAAGAACTCGGTGATGAACGTAGAAAACACAGTATCCTGGGGCGGCGAGTGCTTCATCAAAGTTTGGTAGGCCTGGAGATGGAGTCTGTGTTCTCCAGTTGTATTACCTTCCGTCAGGGTCTGGAGCAACCTGCACAAGATTTGGCCATATCTGGCGGATAGGGTGGTCTGGTACTCCTCGGTGAGATACTCTGGATCTTCCTTATTGACGGCATTGGCGATATCCTCGTAAAATCTCTTGATGGCCTCGTCGTGATGATAGTCTGATCTGCTCTGTAGAGCCCGCCGGTTGGTTGTCGGGTTCTCCTGGATGATTTTGGCACCATATGGAGCATCGAAGTCAATATGCTTGCTGCTCACAGATAGGATAGCATGCATTAGTCCTTGGTGGCGATTTGCTAGGTGAAGAATAATATCCTTGAAGGCATTCTTGGCCTCTCCTTCCACTGTTAGCACGTTGCTGAAATGGTTGATGTAATGCTTCCAAAATATCTTGTCCTCGACAGTCTCAACACAGTGGAAGAGCGGCTGCATGGTAATTAAAGGGAGGGCTTCCTGCCTCAATCGTTCTACTTTCGGGGGTTAGATGAGAATTTTGCTAGCACGTTGCGTCAACTGTCAGTCCTCACCTTCTTCAGCCTTCTCCTTTCCGCTCTTCCAGATTTGTTTTTCATGATATCCCTCACAAACCACGGCATTCTTTTCACAGTTCATGCCTAAGAAAGGGTAAGCGTCTAAGAGAAAGTCAGGGGAGGATACTGCGTCTGATTCATACACCGAGGCTTGGCTTCATCACACTTCTTCTTTCGTTTCCGGCAAGTGATGCAGCCAGTCTTAGAACGACCTTTGGTAACTTTATTTGCATTAATGACAGGGGTAATTGGGTGTTTTCGAGGTCTTCCTCTTGGCCGCTTGAGCTTTCCCTGTGGCACGGGTGCTAGGTCCGACGAGGCTGGAGGACCGGCAGGAGGGGACTGGAGGGTTTCAAGACTGAAGTCTTCTTCAGTCGGCTCTAGCTTAGGGACTGTAAGAGCATCATCTGAACCCTGCTCCCACCGAAGGTCACTCTCAGTCTCGTCCCGATCAGCATTCCCAGAGCTCCATGAGCCCGTACAGGAGGAAGCTGTCGAGTTTGCCAACGTAGGCACGGAGGAGATGTCGGGCTGGAGATCCATGTTGGTGCTGGTCAGGGCGAGTGATCCCGGTTGAGCTTTGGTGATGCCTGATTGGCCATCCCACGTTGCCATTCGAATCTGGGCGGGCAGTAGATCATGAGCACCTTCGTCAGACGACATGCTACGATTGTCTGCCCAAACCGCTTCTCGGGCATTGGGGAGAAAGGTGGAAGTCATCTCGAATTCCATAACCCGTCCCTACCAGGCAAAGCCCATGCCAGAACAAGACAAACGGCGAAGAACCCAAAACTATCCTTGGCGATGAAGACGAAGTGAAGCAAAATAGAACAGAATAGGGAAATACTCGCGTCTGGGGATGGAGGGTACAAGTAAGGTTGGCCTGGGGAGGGTTTCTGGGATCATGGGGCCACGACTGGCTGCAAGAGCTATGTGGAGCTGGGAAACGGTGGTGGAGATGGAGCTATGCTGGTGTGTGGCTGACCGGGATGGGAGGGATGGGATGGGATGGGTGAAACTAGATTGGCCCATCGGCAGCACACAGCACTGGCGGCTGAGAGAAAGCTCGCGCTGGCCTTGAGAGAGGTTGAAGATCCTAGATAAATGGAGAGGACGGACAGAGGAGGAAGGGATGCTGGAGGGGCAGAGGGTGGGGAGGTCTTATTAGTTGGTGGCCCGGGCTCTCAACATGGACTCGGCGGCGGACGGCCCACGATGGAGGTACCTTACCTCAATCCACCTACACCCTACACACCACGGAGGTCGACTCTGTGCAGGCTGGCCAGGCAGGTAGAGGAGACATCCTGCAGCCTGCTGCAATGCCTGTTCCCTGAAAGGCCATCTAGACTGCCTTAGCTGGTCTAAGTATACATCGAGCTGTCGGGTCCGATGGGCCATGCTGCAACTGCTCACGGCCAACAGAGATGGATGGATGGATGGATGGCGAATGCCTGCCTCGACAGATCCCCGACTCCCGTATTTGATGCTCATGGGCGGGTTGTGACGATACATCCAGAGGTACTGATTGATTAGCTAGTCCTCCGGAGTATGTATGTGCTGCATCTACACCCTGCCCTGCAGCAGCAGCATCAGAATGCCTTCTCTCCGAGTCTCTCCAAACTACCAGACCCAGCTGGCGGTGACATCAATTCTCCACCGCACAGGACCCCATCCCTATCGCATCGTTGGGTCCCATCTGACTTGGAGTTTGCAACCAAAGATCCCTACCAACACGAGTGACGAGGCGAGGGCAACCCACTCGCACGCACCCAAATGGCTTGAGATCTAAAAGTGACTAATAGGTCTCGGCCGAGGCTATACGAACAATCCCATGTCCATGGTTGGGAGAGTGTGTGCCTGCGTGGTGCACCTCTATGTACATGCTTGGGACGTGGTCTGATGGCTGGCCATAGTGATGGTGTGGGCTCGCTGGACCGAAACATGCGGAGGAAGATCAGAGCAGCCCGTCTCCCTGCCGCCGCCCTAAGAAGAAGTTGCATCCCCATGCTGTAGCTCCCCTCCCCTGGTGAGTTGAATCGGGCATTTGCTTGTTACCGGACAGATAGTTAGCCAGACGGATGGAACCAGTTAACGAGGAAGTGAACAAATGTCCTTTCCCACGTACTATACTAGATTCTCCCTGTGCTCCCTGCCCCAGATGAGGGATGGATGGCACTTACGCCCCCGACGAGAGCAAGCGGTGCATCGTTACAGCTACTGATGCCCGAGCGTTGAGTCTCCGGGCGGGTACGTTCTGACTTAGCGTGTAGGGCATGGCGCTAGGAGCAGTAGTCCCCACTGTAGCTTGCGCAAACGCCACTAAAACTAGCTCGTCCTCCGGTGGGCGATGCCCTGGCTGGAACCACCCGCCTGAGCGGGCAGTTTGGCCTCAGGGGATCAGCTTACTGGAAAGAGCAAAAGTTAGTGCCGTTGTGTCGACTCTTGCAGCTTGTTTGACAACAACCCATGCATGTTATGTACCCTGGATGGAGTGTGTAATGACAGACGAATCTGGGGTGCCGTCTGTGCATTTCGAGTCGGGATCCTCTTCTGGGAGTAGCCGAGCCCACCACCCCAGGCAAACATTCCTGGTAAGGTGAGTCGTTCACAATGCTGAAGCTCTCGCGCTGGGTGTGATATTGATGTCAAAGCAAGCTGATCCTGGCCTGACTTGGGATCATAATAGCCCTATTAATATTTTCGATTCGTTAGTGGCTCCGGCAAGCCCTGGCCTGGGTGTTGTTCCCTGTAGGCTCCGTTCTCGCGGCCGAGATGGGCTTGGATAGGAGCACCGCAGACTATTACGACAAGCCCTGCCCGCCAGAGCAGCAGGTGTAGGCCGTGTACATAGGCATCACCAGTGAATGACATGAGGGCGATGGTTTTGAGGCTTGGTAGACCGTGGGGTTTTCCGTGCTCCGAATATTCATATCTCCTTTGGGTCCTTCCGCAGTTTTGTCGCATTGCTTCGCAGTTTGCAGAGCCAATGGCAGACGCGAGAATGAGACATCCTGCATGCACTCTGGTGTGCCAATCGCTTGTCCCGATGCAGGTGCGCTGTAGTATGATATCATGGCGTAGCAATGGACGATGTCTGGCAAGCCTGGGCTTGTGATTCGACCGCTGGGGAGATGGATGTTCCTGATGCTACCGAGACCTCCAAGCTTGCCCGGGAATTGCCTAAGTATCAATCGCGGAGGCTATTTCTTGAGCTACCCGTTTTTGCGCTCTTCCGAGGTGATGGATGTGCAGGGACGCGTAAGGTGCGGTGCGTAAGGTCTGATACTACCTAATGTGGTTGGTCTTCACCTGCTGTTTCACCGAGCAGGGCTCTCAGGCCCTTCTTTCTGCGGTTGGCTCTGTCTTGCGTACGGTGGAAGGATGGCTGCCCGCTTTGCAGGGCCCCGAACAGATGATAATTGATTGCCCAGTGATGGATGGTGGCTTTCGCCAAGATGGACTTGTTGCATCAACTTTCAAGGGTCTGACCATCCACAGGCGTCGCCCAGAAATCGGCGATGGGGAGCTCTTTAATCATACGTCTTGGGAAGGTGGGGCTTGAGGAAGGTACCACTCGCTGCTCAGTACCACATGCTGATACACACAAACAGGTCGTACCTACCTTACCTAGTATCAGCGCCAGCCAAGGACATATCCTGCGCACCTATTGCTCCTTACCACCTTAGCATAAACTTGATCAAGAAGGTACCTAGGCAGGTGCTCCATTCGCCAGCACGACGGAGGGGAGATAGGGAAGGCCCAATGAGACTGCCGAGCAGGCATCCTTCTAGCTGCACAAACCCGTTAGTTCGTCCACTGGCTGACTGAACAATGCCTATTACCTACTAACGGTAGCAGAAGAAGCAAATAAATCCCCTACTTAGCGCACCCGCTGCACGGGCCATTCCACCAACAGACCGGCATAAGGGACTCGGATAATATTGTGATACTGTAACTGGCCAACCCGACCAGTTCGTCGTTTTCTTTCCTTTTTCCTCGTCCCCGCTGGGGTTCTAGACTAGAGGCGCGCCCTGAATCACTAAAGTCCCATCTCCGACCTGCGCTGCCGCTAACCAAGGGAAGCAGAGACTAACTCAGCATCAGCCCATCGATGCTGGATCAGCAATGCAAAGACATCCCATCCCAATCGCCCATCCACCCATCATGGGCTTCTCCGTGGGTACATCCGTGGGCACAGCTGCTGGGTACTGTCACACTGCACATCGCCGTCTATTGGCCGGCAATTCACTAGGTGTCCTCTTGCCAGCCAGATCCCACGTTCAGACGGGGGGATTGGCCTAGGGCTATGACATACATCTTCAACGGTGTATCCGGGTGCACAGACGACATCAAGCTGCAGGACTTCCACGGACCTCCTGGTGGCCTAGGCTGCCATTCTGAGGGGACACTCACATCCATGCTCCCGCATGCCCCCGCATTGCCATTAGAGGCTAACAGGCGTCGTCTCTGTTAGCGGCCCTTAGCAGTCAGGTCTAGTCTCAGGTATGGTATGCATGGACCTAGCTGATGTGGCTGGCAAACCATTGACCTGAGCTGCGATAGCATCCTATCCGTATTGGCGGAACAGACACGACGATGCCACATGTGATGGACTTCTCTCGCATCCTACCCGGCATTGGTGTCGTTAACTTGCCAATTTGGATTTCTTGTACATATTATTACAGCACGGATACAGGCCTATCGTTCTCCGAGGAGCATGCCCCCACGTCAGGGCTGGGTGTTTCGGGTAACGATGCAACTCTGGAGGGTTGAGCTAATTAATTGCCACACCATGGGCCAATCAACATACCTATCGCTTGGGGAGCGAGCGGATTAGGGCCGATGGAAGAAGCTATGCTACGTCTTTACCCTGGCACCGCGACGGGCACTCAAGGAAACGTGGTTGAGACGTCTACTATGTAGCCAACCAACCAACCATCCGGCTCAAGTGTCGTCGGCTCCGGTGCTGTTACGGGGCCCTTCGCTGCTACGTCCTTGCATTGCATTGCCTGGTGGGAAGACACCCAAGACCGGGACAGGGAATGCCCTCCCTTCGCGTCCATCACCCAAAACAGTTCCGCGTAGCCTTCCCCTGGGGATGTGCTTGTAACTGCCGACAAAGGGGCGGTAAATTTGCCGGTTGAGGGCTCTCCGGCGTTTCGATGGGCCCCGTGCTTTCTATGGTAGCCATATCCTTTGCTGCCTCGTCCCTACTACATGAAGGGAAACTCTCGTTCGAAACGCGCCGTGTCCTGTTAGGGACTACACACCGATTATGGACGGAGGTCCACGCCAGCAAGCGGGAGACGGTGCTCGTCTGTGCGATGGTGCGAGAAGATATCAGACTTGGTGATTACACCAGCCTGGGACGTGTCTGACCATGGTGGGTATATCGTGTGGTATTATGCGTTCACACTAGGACAGGTGATCGGAGTCTTGGAGTGGTCTGAGGAATTCCAAAATAACGACAACAAGCATTCGTGATGTACTTTTGAGTTTCGGGAAGGGCTTGGTGCGGACCGCAATTTGGTCTGTCATGGCATCTTCCGCACCCGGAGCCGATGAAGGCGGTCCTGTTATCTCGGCCGAGAGCCAGGTGCTGGTGGGGCTGTGGGAGAGCCGTGAATCTCCGTGGCTGGTCGTAACTTGTGATCCCTTCAATGCACGGCCCACACTTGGACTCCTCAACCCTCTAACGTCTAGTGCAGCCTAGCGTATCGGCCAGGTCATGGACCAGACAAACGAGAGACAGATGCGGACCAACAGGGTTCATCGAAGTACATCGGAGGTGTGTGCTTCGTATTTCGAGCAACTGCTAGTGAATGAGGCCAGCGTCGTATGATGGTGACCGATGCCATCTGCAATATTCATTAATCATTGCAATGGCGTTGGGCAACACACGAGAGGGCTAATGCAAACTACTCCGTACTAGCAGCTTAGGGGCGCTAGAGAACCAACACTCGGTTATGCCCATCCACGGAGTCGACCTAATTAGAAGCTGAGCTGACGCTACGTTGGCGTGCAGATGGCGAAGGGTCGGTGCATGCGAATGAGAGATCGGGTCGGGCTGGGATGATAACTGCAGGCACTGATGACACGCATCTCCTCATCCTCCAAAAGTCCTCCTTCCATGGCTCCTGATCCTGTTGTTCTCCAAGCTAAGCTAGACATTTCCAACCCCCCTGTCAGCATACCCTTGGACACTATGTAGGTTGGGGATACATGTTGGTTACCATTCATCTGGAAACCTGCTCACTTGCTTCTTCCCCTATCAGGACCTGCATATCACAACACCATCCAGCAGCAGACACAGAGCGCACATGGTTGGACCTAACCGAACTTAATTTCATGTGCATATACCTCCGCACTCTGTTGTTCAAGCAACTAAGAGAAAAAGAAAGTCACTGTAGACTTCGTTTCGGTTTCCTTTACCTACATACGCCTAGGTCACGTCTGGCCCTCGATTTCACGATGTGACTGGCCAGGGCGTGTCTGGTCATAACCTGATCTCTAGCTAGTGCGATGCGCCAACGATGGCAGCAAAGATACGTGGGAAAAGCATTGCACGTGCCATGTCAGAGGGTCATAGCGTTCCTACCATCACAGATGACAGTGATGATCCTGCATCAGAGCCGCACGTCTCGAACGTCGTGGATTGATCCCACCCGTTGCGCATGACGAATATGCGGTGAAGAAAATAGAAGAGGTGAAGAGCAAACGACGGTGATTTGGTTAGTGCCAAGCGGCATCTAACTAGAGAGAGAAAATCGATCACAAGCAAAATCGAGGGATACAAAAACCGGCGACGGTAGACCAAGGAGACGGGTCTCACCGAAGCCGGTTTGCCCAAGCTGACCGGACCGGACGAATGTGGAAAGGGTGTCATTCATGGCACAAGGCACCGCCGGCGGCCAATGGCACGCGCCGACAGGACTACGGAGGCTTTTGGGCGGATGTTAGTGTTGAACTGGGCAGTCTAAGCCACGTATCTAACCGCCTCTGAAGGGTTCTGAAGTGAAGAGAAAATAGAGTGAGTGGAGGAGTCGGGCTTGCTAGCGGCATGCCGGTGTCTAGAAGCGAAATGAGGAGCTGATAGGTCCATTCATCCATACAGATACATGGATGGCAAAGGCACACACATACATGCTTGGGTATACCTATCCAAATGTGTATAGCTGCACATATCGATGCGCGGGCTTTCATGCGCGGCGGAAGCATCTCAATGCTGTCAGCCGTATCGAAGGTTTACGGCACCATGTACAGCGGCCATCCTGGCCTCGAGCGGTCACCGCCGTCCTGCGCCGTCGCCACTGGCTTTCGGGTCGCAGGAGACTTGGAGCGGGAGACATGACCTTGGGGTTGCGATCGCGTCAGATCTGTGGTGGAGCGACACTAGCCGCTCCATCGACTGGACGGCCGAAGGGCTGCGTACCTAATGGAAACCAGCATGAAATTAAGGCCAGCAACATGTACTCCCGAAGCAACATTGATGCAACCTGGCGGCCCTCTACACTACATGCTACCTCCATACCTACGCACGGAGCACAGCTGCGCGCACCTCCATGCAGCTGGACGTACATATGTGTACATATGTGCTGTGCATGCGGGTGGGTGGGTGAACTAGATCGGATCTTCGGGCTCTAGAGGAAAAAGCAAGGCCCATGACCTAGCGACCCAAGCCACTGTACCGCCAGCTCGTTAGGGGATTGGAGCCTGGGGCGGGGGGCACTGACCACTGGCCCATCGCTAGCCCTGTGAGAACCACTCACACTCGCACACCCACAGCCCAACTTGGACGAGCCTAACCATCATCGCTACAACCTCAGCACAACCACCATGGCTACGTCCGGCCACCATCAGGAGCTATCTCTCATGCGCGTCTTTATTGCATGGGGTGGGTGACTGGCTGGTGGAGCAAGGGTGAAATTACCTACCAACCGACACACCTGGACGTACTCCACCGAGTCTGGATCACCACTGGCGACGCTCGAGGTGAGGGGAGGAGGGTCCTGAGTGGGGGTAAATGGTGGTTAGGTGATCGCCACTTGCAGCATCTGACCCTTGTCCCTGTCATGATAGCCTCTGCCACACCTCTCAATACCAAGAATCGAGATGGAGGAGGAAAATAACTGCCCAAGCCCGGGCTCCCATGGCCAGAATTGCATCTTCTCCTTGGAGGAACACCAGTGAGCAGGTTGAGGCCGGGAGCGAATCCTCACGGGACCGCGATCCGTTCGTCTCTGGCACCCGTCAGGCAGCCATTGTCAGCCCGTGCTTTAGCCGTGGCCGGTGTGAAAGGTGGTATGTTCACCGCTCTCTCGCGTGACGCCATAGGGATCTCCTTGGCCCCATGGACCTGATGGAGTCGCCCATCGTCGTCTGTTGGCGCAGAGGATCAGCCTTGGGAACTCCACTGAGGGAAATGGGGATCCGGTGAATTGTTCCATTCTGGAAACTCACTCCCTAGCTCGCCGTTGAGACAACAGAGGGTACCATCAGTTGGTAGCTTCCAACGCTGTTGATGTGTTTAGTTTCACACGGGACAGGCATGTAAATAATGTGTAATGTACGATTAGTTATGTAGAAAATTACGCAAGGGTTGAGAACCGTATACATGTACTTGTAAATCCGCAACCATTCGAACTCCGCCGATAGATCAATTTTGGAATCTGCTCGTGCTACCCCCGCACCATCCCTAACTTCATAAACGTGGTTAAGCCGGACTCGCTCGACATTTTACTGGCGTGTTGGTGATCACCATTCTAGTGTGGAATTTTCCCCGTCAAGGCTACTTGGCCTTTTCTCGTTGAGTGCCGCAAACTCCCGGATGGAGGTCGTAGTTGCCCCCTCGTTGTCGATACCTTCACTATGTTACCTTGGGACTGCAGATCACGAGGCGACTACGACGAGACCGAATGGGATGACAGCGATGATGTCAAAGCCGTGAGTGAGGTTCTGTTCTGGGGATTGGGCGTAGGGCTCCTCTGGGCCTCCTGCTCCGCTTGCTCTCTGAAGTATTCTGTTCGCTTCTCCCTCTCTGTCTCGTCTTCGGGCTTACCGAGGATCCAGGGGGAGCTGCATGGGATACCTGATGATCTATCTGGCTCGTCGAAGGGGCTCCAGTTCTTCGTAGGCTGGCTGGGAGGTTTGGTAGCGACAGTGTTGAGATGCCTCCTGAAGCGCTTTCTGAAAGTTGAGGAGGGAGTATCACTTGTGGTCTGTCTGTCAGGGGTTGGAGATTCTGGACTTTCAACAGAAGTGACTTGGTGTTGAAAGGTTGAAGACACGTTGGGAATAGTAATTGGGGTGTGTTTCGATCTATGGGTAGACGGCGATCCCCCCTTCTGAGCTTTCGAGGGCACGAACTGCTCTGAGGAGGCCCGAGCATCAGAGTTTCCTGCTCGAGCAAGGACTGTAGACGACTTTTGGCTCTTGGTTCTTTCTAACGAGAAAGTACTTTTGATTTTATCCTGGCTCTTCTTCCTAACAATGCTCAGACTTCGAAGAGGATGTAGAGTGTGAAGCTGGCGCTCTTTGCCTGTGTCGGAAGAAAAGCTTCCAGTGTTTGATTCGAAGTTTGGACTTGAGCCAGGGTTCCGTAGCTGCTCGGGTAGAGTAATATGTTCGTTGGTCTGAGAGAACTGGCTGAAGGGAGGCCTTGGAGTAGAACGGCTCGAAAAATCTAGCTCGTTGTTTCCTGCTCTGGTGAGCGTTCGTTGGCTACCTTGCAAATTACAAATAGAGCCATGTGACTCCTTTCCTTTGATAGGCGCATCCTTTTCATTTTGAACTCTTCCAATAAAAATATCCTCAGCATTCTTCGCATGAAGAGAAGCATCAGTTCTCATGTGGCGAAGGACTGTAATACTGGGACTGGGGGTTCCTGGATGATCACGTTCAAAGGTGTCGATTTCTGCCTCCAACTCTTCTGCCAAGCTATTCTATAGATTGGGGCATCTTCCAATATCATTCTCTTTTCTGCGAGTCGTCTTCCGGCGAATTTTCAAAGGAGCTGGTTGAAGATCCTCGAGAATTGACTTAATCGAGCTTGAATCCGATGGATTGCGAGAAAGGTCACCAGAGGCTTCCTCGCCCCTGTCTTGCACTTTGGGTTCTATTAAGGCAACAGTGGGATCCTGATTTTCTCCTTCCATATTCTTCTTATCTGCTTCGGTTATAGATTTAGTGCAGTGGTTTTTATCCAAGATATTGTCAGCCTGAAGGCGTGGAGGCGTAAGACCGTCTCGTGAACAGGTCGAAGAGACCCCTCGGAGAACTCCATCTGGTGTCATTTTTGGTTCATCTACTGATGAGATACGACAAGAAGGCTTGATTTGCTCAAAATTTCCTACTGACAGCGATCTTTGCAATTTTGATTGCTCCTCGTTTTGGGTGGAAGCCAGTATTGGTTCGCCTTTACTGAGCGTTTGGTGAGATTGAACCAAACCTTGAATTCCTGTACCGCCCCAAGAGCGACTTCTCTCGACGGCAAACGAATTAGATTGGCCAATGGCAGTAGAAGTAGCCTCAGACGTTTGATCTGGCAGCCTTCCTACAGTCTTCAAATCCAACAAGGAGGGAAAGAAAGAGGTCATTGCCCCTAGATTTAATGATATCCGAGGGCAATTCGAATCTGGAGATATATGGCCATTAAGCCTTCTATATATACCAGAAAACGGACGGTTAGCGGACTGAGATTCATATAAACCATCCCCGATACGTCTTTTGATATTCGGTGGCAATTGAGGAATGATCAAAAACTCATCATAGTTTGGAGTCCAGAGCTGTAGTTTAGAGGGCTCAGGAAGCATACACTTCCGTTTCTCCCTTGAAGAAAGAGATTTCTCGATGAAATACATGCGAGTATATTCCATTGGCGAGAGGCGCGGTTCGGCAAGTTCATAGGTGAAAGTCTTCAAATTTTCGACGTCTGGAACTGAACGAGGACGATGCAAGAAAGATGATTGACGTGTAACTGAGTGGCAAACAGATCCAGGTCTCTTCGGAAGCCCTCTCAAACTATTCCATTGTTTTTTCATGGGCTCGGGATCCGATATGTGAAGTTTCGAGACTGATGGTCGTTTGGACGAAGATGTACCTTTTTGGGAAGTTTTTGCAGGCGTCGACTCCGACATTGCCTCATGCATTGCCGACCGGGACCTCATTCTTCGAGCGATCTTGATGAAAACTTTTGGCAGGACTTCTGGTATGGCGGGTAAAGTGGCTATTGCCTGGGGTTGAAACTTCCTTGCTGGTTCCCTTGCAGGGTTGAATGCCAAGTTGGCTCTATCCTCTACGCCTTCTTCATCCTCGGTGTCGAATTCATACTAAGATGTTCGAGTTTCGAGTCGCTTGGGGAGTAGTAGTCCCAGATTGGCCATTTCAGAGACCTTGATATCAATATCTTTGGTAATGGGATGCTGGTCAAACTCTTCTGCGGATAGCGGTTCTAGTATTTCCGATGGCGTGCCCTCCCAATCCTCGTTGGCAAAAGCAGCGAGATCTGTTTGAGATGGCAAAATTTCTCGTCCAGATCTACTTTCTAGGAGATATTTGGAGACTGACAAGGTAGAAGCTATCGTAATGGGAGATCCACAAGGGCGAGATGGTCCATCTCGGCAACCGGCATTAGCAGTTGGCGTCGGCGTGATGGGGCTGTCTGCCATCTCTGTTGTGGATCGCTCGGAAATGGTCAAAGAAGTAATCGAAGAATCTGGTGACTGAATCACGTATATAGGCCTCGGCTGTCTTTCGGCTGCATCGAGAATACCGAGGCAGACTTCTTCGCGCTTCTTGGATTCTTCAATGTACCGTACCAAGGCTTCATGAGACTGCGCATAGGATGGGATATCGCACCAGCCAAGGAGTCTGGTCTCGAGTGCTTTCTTTTCAGTTATAGAGAATGGGTTTTCTCCCATAAGGTGCTCATAAATGCTAAATCGTATGCTGTCGCGTAGTCCGGGCGTACATGGTGAAGGATCAGAATCTTCGGCATCTTCGAGAAACACCATCGCAGGAAACAGAGAATTCAACAGCGCCATGATTTGAACAGGCCTCGCCACACCTGAATTATCTGTTTCCAGTTCGTCCAAGAGTATCTACCGAGGACAGTCAGCTCAAGTTCTCGATGAAATCCAGTTGTGGTGACCACTCACGCGAGCTCGAAATCCCATGTGAAATTGACCGTAGCGCTTGCTTGCCGCTTGATGAAGCTCCTCGGCCAGCTCAAAAAGACCCGGCTCACATGCTCCGAATTCAGCTGAAAGCTTCGCAGCTGTGAATAGAGTGAGACCATGGATTTCCATTGCGTCAAGATAGCCCAAGCCTTCGAGGGCATGTTCTTGCACCAGCCCCCCGTCATCTGGGCGGCGAAATACATAGTGGGCCGCTTCCTTGAGTTTCTTGCGTCGATTGGAGTCGTAGCGGATATGCAGGGACTTTCGAATATCTAGTATCGCGCCCTGGAGCTGCTCGTGAATATTTTGATCGTTGTCGAAACCCCGAAGTCTGCGTTGTACCGTTTGGGCGAATCCAACATCCCGTTGCTTGCAATTCAAATGATCGATTTCGAACAACTTGGTTAGAAAGTCGTACCCGGAGCTCATCCACCACTTCTGAAGCTCGATGGGGTAGGGCGGCATTCTTGATCATATCCGGCACTTTCGCGAAGAGTAGGTAGCGAGGTCTAGACGTAAGAGTTGTTGCTGAAGAGAGAAATGCTTCGGTCGGGTGGAGGAACGAAATCCGGCGAGAGAGGCTGAGAATGTAGTGATGAAAATTTAAATGATTTTGAGGCGAACTTCATCCGCGGCTCAGATTTTCCTGAGAAGTTGCCCCGGACGAGGCAGGTACCAGAACCAAGTTTCACTGTTCATGGGCGAGCTCCCTGAACTGGAACAGAAGCATAGAATCAAGTCATGATGAGAGGATATCCCATTGAATTATTTTAGGCATTTGTTTGATATGTAAAGAGAGGCTCGAAAAATAGCGGCAGTGTACCTTTACTGCCCTTCGATGACATTGAATGGTGTCACGTGGCTGCCGCTGCCTATAAGTTAGGCAAGTCACTCAGCATCAGAGCAAAGTAGAGCCTTCCTCATCTCTCCGGCGGAGTGAGTCGAGGTAGGTCCCAATCTCCTACATATAGAGGCACCTTGCCTTAGTAGGTACTTTGGTATCTCGCCTAAAGCATCCCAGTTCTTCTGGGCCAGCCATTGATCGTGGATCGTGTAAATGTGCGAGCTCCTCCCATGGCTTCCACATCTCTTGGTCTCTCACCTCTATTGATCTAGTCAGCCTCAACCATGCAGCGAGGGCCCGATCAATCACTAGACCATGCTTCAACCTCCATATTTTTCAGCACTTCGGCACATTCGGAGCAATTCAATATTTTTGATCCGGACGGGCGTATAGTTACCGATCTGACGGCACGGCACCCCATATTCCGATTGGCCAGTCCTTCCTCCCAGCAAGCTACCCCAGATCTTCGTCCTCAATTCTAGTATATTAAAGCTCTCCTGCGCGTAGTTATCATAATGAACCATTAAAATCCACTGTAGATCCGATACAACGATAGATCTGTAACCATGGCTAAATGCGAAGTTGAGAATATCGAGTATGGGGCAAGTTTTCCCTCATCACAAGACCACGCAGGTCGTAGCTAACCTGTTCAGGGGGTGACTACGAGTGATGACCTATCTCAAGATCATCGCCAGTACCTTATTGACCGTCATGGAACGGCCGATCTGAACCCGCTTCCTGAGATGGACGACGACAATCCCCTGAATTGGCCCAAGTCAAAAGTAGGCCTCCCTTCCTCGATCTGCCCCCTTATTTCTCTTGGGTGAAAGCTGATGGTGACGCCTGTAGAAAATATTGAACCTCCTTCTGGTTGCATTTCATGCTTTTATGGCCACATTCACTGCTGCATCCATACAATGCGCGTTCGTTGACATCGCCCAAGATCTGCATACTACCGTACACCAAGCTACCTACTTGACATCCCTTGTCATCGCTATCCTTGGAGGAGCACCGCTCTTATGGAGGCCTCTTTCACATGTCTACGGGAGGCGGCCCATATTCCTACTATCCCTTCTCTTTAGCCTTGTTGGGAACGTTGGCTGCGCTGTTAGTCCCTCGTATGGCACCATGGCTCTTTGTCGAGCTATCACGGGCTTCTTCATCAGTCCTGCCGCCTCCATCGGCAGCGGTGTGGTTTCTGAAACCTTCTTCCAACATGAAAGGGCCCGGTATATCGGGATTTGGACTTCCATGGTCACGATCGGTGTCCCGCTTGCGCCGGTAATCTTTGGGTTTGTGGCACTTCGTGTTGGATACCGCTGGATATACTGGATCCTGGCCATTGTATGTTTTCATTTCCGCTTGTAATGATGGAAAAGACCTGGCTAACTTCCGTTTGGATAGACTAACGGCGTGCAGTTTATTTTGTACTTCTTTTTCGGGTCTGAAACCCGGTACATTGGCAAGGGAAGTTCGTCAACGAGTGAAAAGTCCTCGGCGGTGGCAAGGTGGCTTTCATTCAAGCGCATTGATCCTCAAACTTTGACTCTCTTGGACTTTATCAGCCCCTTGAAACTAGTCATGTGGCCCTCCGTCATCATACCAGCGGTGGCGTACTCCATGATTTTCCTATGGGGGAGCATCATGTTAGCCATCGAGATCCCACAGATCTACCCTCAAAAGTTCGGGTTCAACACCCAGCAGGTTGGGCTGCAAAATATATCTTTGCTAGTGGGCATCATTGTCGGAGAGCAAATTGGGGGAATCTTGTCTGACAAATGGATGTCATTGCCGACCAAGGACAAAAAGCGACACTCTCCAGAATTTCGCCTTTGGCTCAGTCATATTGGCTATCTTCTTACGATTGCGGGCATGGTGGTTTTCCTGGTACAGTTGGAGAAATCCACATCTTGGGATATAACCCCTTTGATCGGTGCCGGGATTGCTGCTGCTGGGAACCAAGTGGTCACCACTGTATCCATCACATATTCCGTTGATTGCTATCCCCAAGATGCAGCCGCGATTGGCGTTTTTGTGACATTTGTACGCCAAATATGGGGCTTTATTGGACCCTTCTGGTGAGTTTTTGTACACTGTTCACTCCGCATGCGAATAGTTGTATTCTAACATGACATTTTGACAGGTTCCCTGAGATGATTGCAGAACTTGGACTTGGAAAAAGTACCGCGGTATCCACTGCACTCATTGTTGCAGCTTCAATCCTTCCTACAATGCTTCTCCAATGGAAGGGGAAGACTTGGCGGAAAGGCTGACCAAATGTCACCCCTCTCCGTTTAAGCCCAGGATATATTTGGTGTAAAGGGTGTGGAGTAGACAATTGAATAGTATACGAGAGATATGTTGGTAGAGTTCTCTTCTACTTAGGAGACAGTGCTCAAAGATACATATGATGATATCGAATGTTGTCAAGATTTGTTGAACACATAATGAAAATGACCCTTTGATAAGACTGATATTGATGTTATACTTGATAGGAGCTTTAATAGTAGCCAATAAATACTTTTCTTGTGTAACAGTCTTCTTTACCAATCTACAAAGTCTTACAGCATCAAATGTGTTTTCCGATGACCACTCATATAACTAGGTAGGCATTCTCGCTCATACACTCTGAATTTCTATTCTCGTGTGAAAATTCGGAACAAAAATATGAAATTCACATCCAATAAATTCAGATAGCATTTGTCTTGGGTCCGCTGTCATAGCGATGAGCGCCATCTTGTGGGGAAGCGGATATTGAGATCGTGGGGGCAGATGGGCTGCGGGGAAGCTGTTTCCGCCCATGCATCCATCAGGATCCCGGCTACCTTAATTCCCATTGGCTTAGAGGAGCTACATCCGGAGACGAAGTGAGAGGCATGATTCAAACAAATATCACGACGGGTGCATGAAATTGTGGTGGAAATGATGAGAATAGTTTAAAGGTAGTTTGCTCAAGTCGATTAACCAAATCCAAAAAGCAATCAATTTACTCCTCTTATACTTTCACCATACAAGCCGCAAATATCATGTCAATCTTTTTAGTACTCTCAAACGGCCCTGTTCTTTATGGGATAGTGGCTGCGGTTCTCTTTGGAGTGTTGGTCAGTTATATTGTTTACCAACGTTTCTTCCACCCTTTGGCCTCATACCCTGGACCCTTCCTAGCTTCGATAACAGACCTATGGCAGGTTTTCCAATTCCTTTCACTCGATCAGCCGTATCATCTTACGGAACTGCATGCAAAGTATGGCCAGTTCGTGCGTTATGGGCCAGACAAGCTGAGTATCACCGCGGAGGAAGCAGTGCCTCTCATTTATCAAAGAGGAGGCAAGAATATGCCAAAGACCGAGTTCTATGATGGTGTGTTGAAATCTCATCTTTAACTTGATGTATTTGGATTAGTTAATTCTAATAGCTGTTCAGCTTATGGGGCAAAGATTCCCAACGTGTTTGGCATGCGAGACGAAAATGTGAGATGGCAAATATGGAAAACAACATAGCATATGTGACTAACAAATCACCAGATGCACTCGATTCGCAGACGCCACATGTCTCATAGTTTCTCCATGTCTTACATCAAGGGTATGGAGCAATATCTGGATGAGAACATGACTATCCTCTGTGATAAGATTGCTGGATTCACCAAGACCGGCGAGGCTTTTGACCTCAAGAAAGCGCTTCACTACTATGTCATCGACGTGCTGGGCGAGCTTGCTTTCAGCCAGTCGTTTGGCATCCAAACCACAGACGACAAATCGCGGGTGCCGCCTGTTGTCGAGCATAGTCTTCTCAGTGCCGTCACAGGGGCCTGGCCAGCCATGACCAGCACCCTGCGCAAATGGTTACCCGTCGTCCCACATCCAAGTCTGAAGGCTCTCTTCAAGGGTCGTGCTGACTGCGCTGCCCTTGCCTCGCAGTGCGTCCAGAGACGGCTGAAGGACCTGGAGGGGGTGGCCGAGGATGCTAAAGACCAGCGCAAAGACATTCTAACCAATTTGATCCTGGCAACTCACCCAGATACGGGGGAGCGACTGGCGCAGCATGATTTAGAGGCAGAGGCATTTGGCTTCATGTACGTGTGGCTGCCAATTTCTTACTTCTTGCGTCGAACAAGGCTGACAATATTGCTCCCAGTATCGCTGGAACCCACACGACGAGCGCAACCACGACGCTGCTCTTCCATCACCTCTTACATGCCCCAAATATCATGTCCAAGTGTGTCGCGGAAATCGACCAGAATCTTGGACCGCTTGAGGGAGATTCCGTGTACTCGGTCACCGACGCAGAGACATCATTACCTTTCGTCCGCCAATGCGTAAGAGAGAATTTCCGTCTGACACCCGTCTTCACCATGCCCTTGGCTAGACGGGTCATGGCCCCTGAGGGCATTGTCATAGCAGGGCACCATATCAAACAAGGCGTAGGTAACCTGGTATATACATTGGCCCAGATGACTGTCAGCTAAGATCGCGTATATGTAGACCTCCGTGGCCATCTGCAACCACTCTTTCCACCACAACCCTCTAATCTGGGGAGAAGACCACAACGTCTTTAACCCGGATAGGTGGGAGGTGCCCGAAATAGCACAGAGGGCTCGCTATCTGATGCACTTTGGTTTGGGCGGCCGCCAATGCGTCGGGAAAACGGTGGCCCAGACGAATATATACAAGCTGGTGAGCACGTTGCTCAGGAGGTTTGATTTTCAATTGGCGGATTCTGAGGAGCGAGAGTGGGCGGCTAGGGGAGAGTTCGTTGGGAAGCTTCCGGAGATGATTAGTGTAGGAATAAGCGACCTGAAGCATCCGCTGATGGTGAGAGCTCGAGTCAGAGACATGGCTGAAGCATAGACGTCTAGTTATATCGATAGATGTGAGTAGCACCATAGTGGCTATCAGTAGGCAGCCTGTGATGATGTCTGTTGGGGCTACATAGCACCGTTGTGCATACGCTAGACAAAATCAAGGCCACCCCGATCTCTATATATCCTCCGCATCAACTTGGGGGCCTATGTATGCGTACCTACCTAGGTAGGTAGTGTCAGTAGAAATTGTGTAAAGTATGTATGTGCCCCATCCCCACGCGGACCAGAACTTAGCTGGCCCCTCCCCCGGAATCTCACCCCGCGCTATTGATCGATCTTCCGGCTCGCCGTGATAAGGGGAGGAACCGTGCTATTTAAAGGCCCCCCTCCGCAACTATCTTAGTCCTATCTTCTCTACACCCACCTACTACCTATCGTCCTCTTCCTTTCGTCATGTTCAGCAGTCGACCATTAACAAAGCGACCACGAGCTGCAATCGCCTGCAACCGCTGCAGACAGGCCAAAGCCAAGGTAACGGCCAGCTTTCGGTTCGAATTGCCATCAAGGCTGACCATATCTCTATAAGTGCGACAGCGAAAGACCTCAATGCGGGCGATGTGCCAAGGAGGAGTCGGAATGCATCTACTCTAATGATCGCCGGAAAAGACAAGCTCATCAGAGGCAAGTGAGAGGATATGCACTATTGTCCTAGTTTACAGGACTAATAGTAGCTATAGAGCTGAATCGGATCTTGGTGTTCAGGTTCGAGACATCGAGGCGAAGTTGGCATCCGTGTGCGGATCGGTTGAAACAGTGCCGGACACATTCGATCTGGGTTCCGAACCGGTTCCCCTCCCGTGGGCTAATGATAGAGAAAGTTCATCGGCCATGTCGAGCAATGAACCCTATGTGTCCAGCTTGTCTCAAGCCACTCCATCGTACACTGAGTCACTTCCCGATGTTCGAGCTACGGGGCTTTTTGATCACCCATCGACTACCGAAATGGGCTACTTTGGTAAGAAAGATGTGTTGTTTCCAACTGTGGCCTTCACTCATACCCAACATTCACAGGTTCGAGCTCGAATCACGCACTTTTCCGGTCAATAACCGCAGAGATTATAAACTGTGGCTACAACCATGCGCAGCATTCCTTCGAGCCTTTCGGCCGATGCCAGGGACCTATCTCTAGGACCCATGTCCCCGGTCAAATCTCTACAGATCTGACATCCACTGAAACGGGATACCCGGAGCGCCGTGTTGCCCTTGAGCTGATCTCCCGTTTCTCGGACTCCGTGGGCGCAGTTCTTCCCTTCGCTACTGAATCTGCGCTCGTCATAGAGATATGCAAGATAGGTGCAGACTCAGATTTGGCCTCTGGAACTCAGGCATTGCTCGATATTGTGTTTGCTCATGCGTTGGTTTCGACGGACGAGAATGCAGCAAATGCGTTCTACCTCAGGGCTTTTCGTATAGTCGAAACTCAGTCACAGCACTTACCTAGCCTAGAATCCCGTGAGCATCTTCGCGATATCCCATATTAATTCAGAAAGCTTACAAGGTTTGTCCAGTTCAGGCATGCCTGTTGCTAGTCAGCTTTCAGCAAAATACCAGGCGAGCAATATCAAGTTGGTCGCCTCATTGTCTTGCTGTTAAGATGGCTTACGAGTTGGGCATTCATGCCCCTTTCACCTATAAGGGCTTGAGCAGCCAAGACAAGGATGCTCGTCTCAACCTTTGGTTGGGAGTGGTTACTCAAGACAGGTAATTAATGTCTGATTCATACGATATGCATGTCCAGCTTGCTCACCAGGTATCTTCCGCAGAATTTTAAGCTCAGCACTTGGTAGACCGAGTTTAATACCATCCCATCACGTTAAAACAGATGTGTCAAGATATCTTGATTCTGATCGGAAGACCGAACAACCAATCCCTATGTCTCTCAAGGAAAGCTACTTCAGGCATTTGACGTGAGCAATGAATAACATAGGTTGACCTACCGGTGGCTTCACGTTACTGATAAATTGATAGATGTCTTCATCAGATCACTGGGCAGGCGATAGACGATATCTATGATCACAACATGGGAACGTTCGACCAGTTGAACTTTGATGATCTAGTAGCAAGGACAGTAGACCTCTCGAGAAAGTTGGATCAATGGCGCGTCAACTCATCTCCGTTCGAAATCCGCCAGCACGATCTCAAATCTTCAATCCCATTAGCAGGAACGTCGAGGGCAGAAGGGTTCGAAAACCTGCTTTCCATCCACTACTACCGAACGGTGTTGTTAGCCAACGGACAGCTCCTTCTGCGGATATTGCAAGAGAAGACTTCGATCCGTCTTGAAGACCTGGATATTTCCCATCAGATTGCGATACCTCCCCTGCAACGTGATTATGCGGCAGCCAAGGAGCTTTCGTGGCTACTTTCAAGTATTTCCACCTCTGATTCTGGATTTTTGGAATCCAATGCTACCTGGTGGGTTTGTAACTATGGTGGTGAGCCCACAGCCCATGCCTACATCCAATCTTGAATTCCCGGAAGATGCTGACCTTGAGACACGCATAAGTGCTCACTCTCTGTCTTCACCTCATGGGAGTATGGATACTTTCGCTCAGCAATCCCGCATATTTCGGACTACTGAAAATAAATCCGTCGGAAGTGCAGACTCTGCTCAAAGAAGCAGTTGATACATTGAAAGTGATTGGGGGAGAAAGCCTCATGAGCCGCAAAGCCCACCATTGCATACGGCAGTATATTGAGTTCCTGGCCTCTGTCGGTAAGCTTTGTTTACGTCCCAGGTCTTTCCTATCGAGGGCGAAATTGACACGGGCCACAGAACAAAGGATGGAAACAAACGGCCTTGCAGAGGTGGACCAAGCGGTGCTGTGGGCGGCGCAGACTAATATGGCTGTAGACAATGAACCCAACCTGGGGGACTTTTTCCATTCGCTGGACTCGGAGGATGCTCTGCTGGGTGGTTTGTTGGGATCAGAAAGGTGGAATAGCGAAATACATGATATAGGCCTGCTTTAATAATTGTACACTGATGTCTGACCTGACTCATCTATCAACTACTGAAAAGAAAGAAGGAAGAGAAAGAGAGACTGTGGCTGATTGTTCAGTACCGAGTCCATCAACAAAAGCCCTTATCCGGGGCAATAGCTTAGCGGTTTTCTTAATTTTAGCGATTAATAGGGGCGCGAGAAGCATATTTTAATGTTTACGGTTAACTGGGGTGCTAACGCAAGTGAGCTACGAATCTCCTGTCGGGGAAACCGTGGCCCGTTAGCTCAGGGGTAGAGCACTATTTTTGCACTGCCCATTGGCGGCCTCACGGGCTCAACCCAAGGAATTGGTTCGAGAGCTTAATTTGAGGCCGTCCCCAGCCATCTCCAGCCATACCCAGCCTTAAATTGAACGATTGAGATGCGCCCATGGTAATAGACCAGTTCTAGAAGACGATGACGCGTCCCCTTATGCATTCGATGCGCCTGGTCGCCCGGCCTGGCCTCAATCTGTGCCGGCTTGGCGGGCGCCAAGCAACACCCCGGCCATGCTGGCAGCTATCGAGATTCTCAACCGCGTCAGCAAGACTAAATGGTACGTGCCGCCCAATTGACAAGACATCGACGATCGCTGCTCGGGTCAATGTCGAAACCATCCCAACTTGCGTTATGTGTGAGCAGGTTCATGGGGTTGCCCAATTGCCTGCGCCCTGCTGTGTGATGACCAGCTTGAGGATGCCGTGGCCTCAGCTTCACAGGTTATCAATGGCGCCGCACGCGCTTGATTTCGCGCAATGGCTAATTGAGAGTGCACCTTGCTAACTCACAGCAGAATACAAGCAGTCACAATCACAATCAGGAGGTGGTGGTGGCTATGGCGAACCCAAGTCTGAGGAACCATCTTTGTTGAAAAAGATGCTGGAGTCGGCAGCAACTACGTTTGCCTCCATCGTGGTTCTCGCTCTCGGGTTCGCAGGCGCTGCTTACATCTATCACAGGAGCTACAAGTGGCTGGTTCTCCGAAAGATGACACGGGCATTCGAGCCTGGCGACCCAGTGTTGGAGATGGCCGCCATTGGCAAAGATGTCCCACACAAGAAAGGGGGAGAAACAGACTACTGGGTATTGCGTCCGGAGCAAGACCGTGTCAACAGGATCGTCAGTGGGGAAGAAAAGGGGCACTATTTTCTGCTCGTGGGGGAGAAGGGCACTGGAAAGAGCAGCATGCTCATTGAGGCAATGCGACAGATCGATGGCGATGCTGTTTCCATGTTTGAGGCGCACCCGGATACTGAGATCTTCCGACAACGGCTGGGAAAGGCCCTGGATTATGAGTTCCATGAGGATTATATTGGAGGCTATTTCAGTGAGCGGGGGCCTCGCGAGTCCACCGCGCTTCTTGACATCGAACGGGCACTGAACAAGCTGGAAAAGGTGGCCATGAAGATGAGATCCGAGCGTGGCAAACCGCTTATTGTCATTGTGAACCAGATGCACTTGCTCCGAAATGTTGAGGAAGGCCGTGACCTGATTGAGCTTCTCCAGCAACGCGCCGAACAGTGGGCAGCGGCTGATCTCGTTACCATGATTTTCAACTCCGATGATTACTGGGTTTACGAACGTTTGAAGCAGCTGGCAACTCGAATGGAGGTTATTCCGGTACATGATTTACCCAAGAAGCAGGCGGTAGAAGCCTTGAAGAACTACCGTCTACGTTACCGTGGAGAGAACCTTTCTGAGAGCATGCTTGAACAGATTTACTCAAAGGTTGGTGGAAGAGTCAGCTTTTTGAATAGGGTTGCCAAAAGTGAGGATATGCTTGCCAAGTGTGAGTCTATCAAGAATACGGAGAAGAGGTGGTTCCTAAACCAATGCTGGATTCTCGGATCCGAGATGGATGACGACGTGATGGACCAGCAGAAGTGGGCAGTAAGTATTACCCGGCGTCAAATCCGACTCCCATTGTGATGAAAATTGCTCATTCTCAATTAGGCTGCTGCTATGACCTTGGCCCTGGCCTTGGTAGATAAGGAAAAGGAGATGGACCAGACTTACAACCCAGAGGAGGGTCATATCCTGCCATCCTACCCGTTCCATATGGCGCAGCAAATCATGACCCGATGTGACTTTATTCGCGAGCTGGATAGCCTGAATCTCCTGACAATTACTCATCATGCCGATGTCAGAGCTAGTAGCGTCCCCATGCAGCATGCGTTCCAAGAAATCTGCTCCCAACCGGACTTCCGAGAGTTCTTGGAGGCAACGATGACCAGGATCGCCGACATTGAGAGCTTGGGTCGAACCCGAGAACTGGTTGCCAAGGATCTCGTTCTTGGTGGCCAATATGAGATCGAACACAACCGCAAGTCGGTTACTGTCAAGTTGGTCCAAAAGGAGGAGGAGGACTAAAATCGACAGTTCCCGAACTCTTACGCCCTAATGTTCCACCGACTTCACCATACATTCTTTGATATATTCTTTTATGCCTCTCGACATCTTTCTTTCCTTCAATTGCTTTTTTTTCTGAATGTGCATCTTTTCCTATATAATTCGGAGCCCTGGCAGGCATGTATTTATACTGTACACACACCCGCATTCACTTTATTTATTTTCCTTTTTTTCTTGCATATTTCCTTTTTTGTCCTGGTTTCTTCCAATTTGAGAACGCGAAAATCAAAACTGGCAATGTATTTATTAGTTCCGACCTGATGCGAAAGCGATAGATTTCCTTGGATCCGTAGGATGAATGCAAAAAAGCAGAGTATTATCAAAAATGTGCAAGCCCTTATTAATACACAATCGGTGTCTTGTACAATTGAACACTGGTACCAAAGGTTTGTTTGTTTGGTACTAGTACTTGACTTGTGCAAGTGCGAATGTCACTCGCTGTTGGTAGCTCGATTAGTGAGGTGATGCGGTTGCCTATTTCGGCGGGAGCTGCTGAGGAATCACGTCGGCCTCAGATCCAAGGCATCAACTCCCTTCCACCCTTCAGTCTCAAGGCCAATCGCCCACCCTCGATAATTTTACGAGTGTCACCACCTACCTAACCTAAGGTAATCATCGACGCGCCGCCTTTGATTTTTTAAGCGCCCCACAGCCAGCGCTCCTCGAGATTCCTGTCGCGACAGCGGGATGCCAGCACTGCACTCGACTACCACGAAGACGTGAGAGCCTGTCAATGCCAACAAGTGCAAGCTCTCGGTGGCCCGATTTTCACTTTGCCTCATCGTTGTGGGCGAGAGGAGGCCCGCAGTCCAAGCAGGATAACGCGAGCGCATCCGCATCCAGCCCCGGACCGCCAGCCCCAAAACAACCCATCGCCTCTGCCAGGGACCAACACAAGCAGACCGACCCTTCGTCAGATAATCCCGATTCCCTGGCGTCTACGAACATGGCTGAGCTTGAGGACCCCCAGGCCCCCATTCACGGCCTCAGTGGTTTTGATAACACCTCCATCTCTGGTGAGATGGACCAGGACTTTGGTTCGCTTGAGATCTTTGATAGCAACCAAACCGACGCACCTTTTTCGTCGCAGGCAAACAGTGTAGCTTTCGAGAATAACAATCAAGTCCCCACTGCTGTCATGTCAGCAGAAGCGCCATCGTCACCCAGATCGAAGAGGTCCAAACGCGGTACCGACGCCGACGCGAGCTCATCCCGACGAGATCATAGCGATCCTACAACTGACAGGGCGAGCCCCGGAAGCGACAAAGCATCCTGGCGATCGAAGCGAAAGCTCACAAGCCCAGATGCCCCGAGGGGCAAGCGTCAGAAGAAGAACGGGTTGGCCGGAACCAAAGAAACCGACCAATCTCACTCGACAGACGCGGTCAGCCCCGACGCTGAACAATCTAATTCATCCAAGGCGGCAAAATCAAGCGACCAGAGCGCAACTGGGAAGCCTGCCAATGAGAGAGACCCCATTGGTGCAGAATACGACATCGAGAATTTGGACGTAGAGAACCTTGCCAAGGAAGCTTGGAATGAGCACATCAACGGCAATGCGCGTCGAGAATTGGTGGCAGCCAGCGAGAAGACACATGCCCCGGAGAACGATGTCGAGATGGCGGATGCCGGCGCCAATGGCGCAGAACACAGCGAACCCCAGCCAGAGACGTCTGGGGATCAGCCCCAGGAATCTGACCCGACACCTCGCACGAGGCACTCAACACGGGGTAAGAAAGCGAAGCCGACCTACTTTGAGCAGCCTGTTCAGGATGCCCCTGATCAGGACGAGGATGAAGATGCAGGAGAGCTCCCATCCCCTTCAGCAATGACGCCTAAGCCACGACGTAGAGCGAAGGCTGCCGCAAAGAAGGTTACTCGCCCCAAGCCCAAGGCTAGGTCACCTGTGTCAGACGAGGAGGATGTGTCCGACGATGGCTCCCCTCCTCGGCGAAATAGGATGGCTGGTTTCAAGCAAGGCCGGTTCACAGAGGACGAACTGAGCCGCATCAGTAGAGGTGTAGAAGCTTTCGGAAGGGAGAATGACCTGACTCAACCACAAGTGAATGAAGTAAGTACAGTTCCAAAGACCACCGGCATAGTCATCATGTTTCTTATGCAAAAATAGATGATCCACGCAGCTGGAGGAACCACCGCCGGCGAAGCTCACGCTCAGCTATGGGCACGTCTTTTTGCCGAATGTCCCGACAGGCACCGACAGAAGATAATCAACATCACTCGCAAAAAGTTTCATAATTTCGTAGCCCGTGGAACTTGGACGCCAGAGCAGGAGGCCGAGCTGCGAGATCTTATCCAAGTCCATGGCACGAAATGGTCACAAATTGCTAGGATCATCAATCGTCATCCAGAGGATATCCGGGATCGGTACCGGAACTACGTTGTGTGTGGAGATGCACAGCGCAAGGACGCCTGGAACGAGGAGGAAGAGGGTCGGCTGGCACAGTATGTCATCGACGCCATGCAGGCCATCGACGACTTGCGGGCTATGCAGCCCACTCGAGAGATGTTAAGAAAGCCATACGAGGAACTCATTGATTGGCAGAATATTAGCGAGCGCATGGAAAGAACGCGTAGTCGACTTCAGTGCATTACCAAGTGGAAATCGATGAACTTACGGATCCATAGCAAGGATCAGCTTGCGTCGCTGCAACCTGATGCTCGGATCTCGTTCAACCTTGAGAAGGCCAGACGCCAAATCAAGGCGATGCCTGAAGCGGAACGTCACCGTTTAGTGCTCGCGATCAAAAATACGGCTGCTGGAACGGAGGCGAAGATCCCATGGCAAAAGCTTGTGGATAAGGCATTTAGAAACGAGTGGCACCGGGCAACACAGGTTCTCCTTTGGCATCGATTGAAGAAGACAGTCGAGAACTGGGAAACGAAGTCGGTTCGGGACGCTGCGCAGAACATACTTGACCAGTTGAACCTCAACGGCGGCGAATTACCCGACGTCGGAGGGGATGGTTATGATGATGCAGAAGAGATGCGTGTCATCCAATCTTACCCTACACCTTCACAGACTAAGAAGGCAAACCAGGACCAGAAGACGTCACATGTTGTCAGTGAGGAGTTTGTCACCAACTCGGACGATGAAGGGGGGGCCAAGGAGACCGAGGGTCCGTCGTTGGAGGAAGCAGCCGAACTTGGCAATGACGATATCCAGATTGACCCCGCTCTCACTCAAGCCGTTGCTCTAGAGGGAGCACTGGCCGAGCCCAGCAATGTGGATATGCCGGCGACCGTTGATGATGAGAGCTCTCTCCCCAAACGAACCCCCTCCAAGATGGCGACCTATGGCAAGAAGAAGGGGGCTGCCAAGCGCGGCCTCATGCTCACTCAAGACCCGATTGAGGATGTTGAGGGAGATGGTCTCGATGTAGAGGACCAAACGAATGGGGGGATGAGGCCCAAAAAGACCCCGGTGCCCAGCAAGTTCAAGTCCCCAGGAGCGAAGGCCAACGAAGATGAGCAGGTACAAAATACCAGTCTGATGTCTAGTGATTTTGAGGATATGGAAGACCTACCAGCGCGAATCTCGGCCGCCTAGGAGTCGATGCAAGGAGATGAATCAAACAGTGGGTGGTTTTAATGTGAAGAGGGGTGCCTGGCATTTTGAAGCTTGTTCAGGGATTACAACAAGTCATAAAGAATAAGCGGGTGATCGGGGCGTTTTTGTATTACTATATAACCTGGTCTCATTGGTAAACAGTCGGGAAAAATCTTTCCTAAGGGAAAATGAGATGTATGCCACTTGAGGAGCTGCAAAAGGAGATGGGACATGGATGAAGAGCTCAATGTCTACTGCATTGTTGCCACGTTGCTGTAGCAGGATTGTCAAGGAATGACGGGGAGGCTATCGAGTAATAATTGCGTTCATCACATTGAGAAATTAAGATGATATTTACTAAAACTAGAATGGATTTAGGATTTTGTGAATGAAGAAGAAAAGACAGCGAGATCGAGGTCGAGGTCGAGGGGACCACCCTTTGCCCTCCCTTCCTTGACTGCGCTGGACAGTACAATGCAGTGGCTGCTGGTCAGACGAAGACATACATGGCTTCCAATCGAACACGCAGAGCTGCCAGCGGAAGTAGGCCAACGGCAAATGGCCAATGCCCTCCCTAATAACAACGGGAGGGCCGTTTGGCTGGAGCAGTTATGTTCTAATTAAGCTCAACAAGTCGCCACAATTTACCCTCCTCTACCCAACCTTACATGAAACAGGCTACTAAGCATCGAGCTTCTGATAAGGTTGGACAGGGATCCCCGATGCCTTGGCGGGTGAAGCGTCCGGCCAGACCAAGCCAATTGGGCAAGTGAAAATTGCGATCGCTGGGGCAAGGCATCATATCATCCCTCCATCGCCGCTTGACACGATTGCGAGGAGCGTTTGCGTGATTGTTGCCAGTCGGCCATGGCCGTGACGCCGTCTCCCCCCTTGGGCGGTTGTACAGGTAGATGTCTTCTTTCAATGGAGGAACATTGAGCCCTCATTCCACGACTGCATTTCTATGGTATCTCTCCCTGCCTCAGTCAACACTATCCATCTCCACGGATGCCTACAGAGCTCATTACTAGCCCTGCTCTCGACCGGACCCTGTGGAATTGCCACCTGGTTACGGCAGTTCAGATATTGGCCCCTCTTGGCATTTCCCACATCCAGTCCCAGCTTTTCCTGTCCAATCCAAGCCGCGATGGAACTTCTGAAACATGGCGATAGAGTCTCGCTGCCCATCCCTTCCCTCCTCCGCTGAGAATGCAATTGTTCCTTCCCGGGAAGAGCATGCTGCCGCTGCTGCAGGAACCTTTGGAGACAAGGGTGGCCGCCCTTCTTAGCTCTCAGGCCAATCGCTGGAACAGGAAGCTACATTCTATCTTCGAGGTCAACGGGGATCATCAGCGCCATCTTAGCGCGAAGCAAAAGTGCTTGCGGCCTCCGTTTGTCTTAGAACGAAGCGTTCACGCCGTGGCCTGGTCTTGGCCCCGACGCTGTGGCACCATCCGTCGGCTCGTTTTGATACGACTGTCTCTGCTATCAGTCAGCCGTTTGTGCTCTGCGCTGCCTGCTGGAGCGGATTGCCACCCGTCTCCCCTCCACTTGGCTGCATCGCCGTGCTGCTTGGCGTTGATGACGACGAGAATGCTGCTGATGATGGAGGCTCCATTCCGTGGACCTGCCCTCCTCGGCTGCTCGTGGCCTCTCACCTCCTCCCGGAGGCCTGATCAAGGGGTCTCTGTAGATCTCCCCCTGCCGAGCAAGATGCATAAATAATACTCTATCCGCCCGCCCTCCTTGTTTGTTTCTTCTTTCCAACCATTGGAAGGACTGGGCTACATTCCATTTCCGGGGTCGCATTATCCATCCATCCTCTCTATAATTTAAGCTTATTCCTCCATTACCACCCTTCACCCTCTTCCTTAGTCCAGTGGTTCATCCCAGTCTCATCCAAAATGAAGACTGCCAATTCCCTAGCGGCGTCCACCGCCCTCGTGCTGGCGGCTCTCTCTGGCCCTGCCACTGCCGACTTGGTTGATTCCGAGTCGCTCCAGGCCCTCATCAACATCGAGGATCTTCTGGCCGGCTCCCAGAAGCTGCAGGATTTCGCCGATGCCAACGGCGGCAACCGTGTCTTTGGCAGCCTGGGCCACAATGCCACCGTTGACTGGCTCTACGACACCCTCAACTCCCTCGACTACTATGATGTCGTCAAGCAGCCCTTCACCGAGCTCTACTCCGAAGGCACTGCCACCCTCCAGGTGGACGGCCAAGATGTCGAGGCTCGCATCCTGACCTACACGCCAAGCGGCGAGTACACCGGCGCGCTGGTGGCCGTGGACGGTCTTGGCTGCACTGCCGACGCGTTCCCTGCCGACGTGGCTGGCAAGGTCGCCTTGCTGTCTAGAGGTTCGTGCTCCTTTGGCGAGAAGTCCGTTGCCGCCAAGGCTGCCGGCGCTGCCGGTCTCGTCATTTACAACAACGTGCCTGGCAGCCTCGCCGGTACCCTCGGCTCTCCCTTCCTCGACTATGCCCCTGTTGTGAGCATCAGCCAGGAGGACTCTGTCCCCATCCTCGAGGCTCTCGGAGCTGGTGAGGTCACTGTCGACTTCAAGGTCGACGCTGTCGTGGAGAACCGCGTCAACTACAACGTCATTGCCGAGACCAAGGGTGGTGACCATGACAATGTTCTGATCCTGGGTGGACACTCCGACTCTGTCGCAGCCGGTCCCGGTATCAAGTAAGTCACATCCATTGATGTCACACGCCGCATGTGAGTAAAGTGCTAATGTAATATCGTAGTGACGATGGCTCTGGAACCATTGGCGTCTTGAAGGTCGCTGAGGCCCTCGCCGAGTTCGAGGTCACCAACGCTGTCCGCTTCGCTTTCTGGGGCGCCGAGGAGTTCGGAAAGCTTGGATCTTACTACTACGTCAAGCAGCTTAACTCGTCTGATGAGGAGGTTGCCAAGATCAGGGCTTACCTCAACTTCGATATGGTATGTGCTTTTTCTCATCAGCTCACCAATGGAAACCCGCGGTGATCCAGTGCTAACAAATTATGCAGATTGCGAGCCCCAACTACATTTATGGTATCTACGACGGTGATGGCAGTGCCTTCAACCTGACTGGTCCTGCTGGTTCTGATGCTATCGAGAAGGAGTTCGAGGACTTCTACCGAGCCAACGGCGTCAAGTCCGTGCCCTCTGAGTTCAGCGGCCGCTCCGACTATGCTGCCTTCATTGAGAATGGCATCCCCTCTGGTGGTCTCTTCACCGGTGCCGAGGGTCTCAAGACGCCTGAGGAGGCGATCCTCTTCGGTGGTGAGGCCGGCGTTTCTTACGATGTCAACTACCATAAGATCGGCGACGACATCAACAACCTGAACCACGAGGCCTACCTGCTCAACACCAAGAGCATCGCCAACTCGGTGGCCAAGTATGCCCTGAGCTTCGACTCGCTCACCCCCGTCGACCTAACCAAGCGCAGGTGGGCTGCTGACCGAGCTCTGTTCCACAAGAGATCCGGCTTTCACAATGCCCACCATGGACATGTTGGTCCTTGCGGCGGCGGCGGTGTTACCCAGTAAAAAGATGAGATGAGACGATGAGAAGATGTATTATGTTTGTAGAAAAGAATAGCGAGAGGGCTATCAGGTCCATCAAAAGTAATAGAGGAAATGTTATGAACCAACCAACTGTGCCACCCTTGGATTATTGTGATATATGTAGGCCATCTCTTATTAAATAAAGACCTGGATGGTTAGCGAGGGATGCAAATTAAACATAAGTGCAGGTAGTTGGTTTCCTTGATTTCTCTAAATTCATGATGGGTGTAGTGGCATAGGGTAGCACATATTTGAAGAGAGCGGTGTGTTGTCACTATCGCCAACCGCCTTCCTGGAATACAACAAGCACCATCTCATCCGAATGTGAAAACACAACTCAATTGAACATCAAATGTAGCTGTATTTGATACCTGTTGATGCCAGACAAAGACTACTTCCCTCCCTCCACGATGGAGAAGACCGATCCAGGTCGCAAGATGAAGGTCCTCCTCCATTCCCACTTCCCAGCCGGCCACTGCTACCCAATGCAGGCCGCCGCGCAAGCCCTCGTCTCCCGCGGCCACCAAGTCGTCTGGCTCACCAGTGGCGACAACGAGGCCCGCGTCCGCCTGACGGGAGCGGATTTTGTCCCTACCTTTGCCCTCGCCGCCGTTGACGCACCTCTCATGCGGCGGCACGAGACTGGGCTGCTCGACGGCGACTGGGGCCGGCACCGGGGCAGGCTGCTGGCCCAGGTGGATGAATACCGATCCGTGCTGGATGGCTTCCAGGCCGACGTGCTGCTGGTCGACGTGCTCCCCCACGGGGCGAGGGCGCTGTTCGAGCTCGGCGAGATCCCCGTGTATGCGACCCTGGGCGTGATCCCCATGTACTCGTCGGCGTGGAACGCGCCGCATGCAGTGTCTGGGAGGCAGCCTCCCACCACCTGGTTCGGGATGCTGGTGAACTGGCTGCGTCATGCGTACATCAGATGGATCGTCCTGCCTTGGTCTCTCCGTCCGGTGTTGAATGGCCAGCGATCCGTCTTGGGGCTGGGGGGTCTCCCGTACGGACAGCCGCTGGAGGCGTTTACGTACAGCCGCTTCTTGCATATCCAGGCATCTTCTCCGACTCTGGAGTTTGGGATGAGGCCTGCGTACCTGGAAAACGTATCGTACGTTGGCCCTCTGGTGGCGCAGCTCAAGTCCCCCTCGACGCAGAACCTGCCGGACTGGTGGGAGCGGGCGGTTGCGCATCCCCGCGTTATCGGGATCACGCAGGGGACGCTCGCCATGGACCCGACGTCCCTCATCATCCCGTCCATCGAGGCCCTCAGCCCAGACCCCGGTAACCTCCTGGTGGTCGTGTCGCCGCACTCGGCCGGGCTGGAGAGGCGCTTCGGGCAAGGGAGGCACGGGAACATCCTCTACGCGGACTGGCTGCCGTACCATCTCCTGCTGCCCCTGCTGCGCCTCCTGATCACCAACGGCGGGTACGGGAGCATCACGCAGGCGCTCTCCCACAAGGTGCCCCTGCTGTGTGCTGGGCAGACCGAGGACAAGAAAGACACGGCGGCGAGGGTGTCGTGGGCCGGGGCGGGGATCGACCTCAAGACGGACAATCCCTCGGCTGAGCAGGTGCGGACCGCGGCAGACCGGATTCTGGATGATAGCGGGAGTTACTTGGAGAATGCTACTCGGCTGGGCGTGGAGTTGAACGCACTGGGTGGTGGGGAGACGGTGTGCGATGCGCTGGAGGACCTCGTACGACGGACGAGGCTTACGGAGAAGCCGTTACAGGATATCGGCAGGTGGTGATGTTTTGGTTTAAGGATGAAAAAGACACATGGGGTTTTGTTTGCGGGTTTAACTACTTGATTCTGGTGTTTTAAGTAAGGTATTTGCAGAACAGGCGGCGGGTTTCGAGCTCTAGATACGGAATCTTGAATCTATTCACGGTGACAACAGTTTTGTTTTGTCACCTTCATATTGGAATTGCTTCATAATCTTCGGGTTTAGTTACTGGTTTTGTGTTCCTTTAACGACTCAGAAGTATCCTGCCCAGTCGTCTCCCGCTCCGAACCGTCCTCGTTGAAGAGCGTCTCTTGAGCTACTCCAGCAGTTAGTATATGGGGTAATGCTATTGACGGGGTAAAAAAATAAATAAAGACTTACCGCTCCAGAGTTCTGAATATACGCCATCGTGGTCGATCAGCTCACGGTGAGTACCCGTCTCGGCCACCTTTCCATCCTTGAGGACGATGATCAGGTCCGAGTCAAAGATTGTCCTTAACCTGTGCGCCACAAAGAGGCTCGTCCGGCTCTTCTCGCGCAAAATGCCGTTGATGTTGTTCATGAGCGCCTGTTCAGTGTGCGTGTCGAGCGCGCTCGTGGCCTCGTCGAAGAATAGTAGGGGAGGATCCTTAAGAAGCAGTCTGCTCACGGCCAGTCGCTGCTTCTCGCCGCCGGAGATCATCATGCCGCGCTCGCCGACCTTTGTGCCGTACCCATCGGGGAACTTCTCGATGGTGTCATGGATGCGGGCTCGGTGGGCGGCGGCTTTGACCTCGTCGAGCGAGGCAGTGATCTGGCCGTAGCGGATGTTGTGCTCGACCGTGTCGTTGAAGAGGGGTGTATCCTGAGGCACGACGCCGATGGACTTTCGGAGCGAGTCGACCTGGACATCCCGGATATCCTGATCATCGATCAGGATCCGGCCGCCCTGCACGTCGTAAGACCGGAATAGGAGGCGCAGTAACGTCGATTTTCCACAACCACTTGGGCCCACGATGGCGACCTTCTTACCGGCTGGGATAGTGAGTGTGAGATCTCTCAGGATTTGGCGATCAGGATGGTAGGCAAACTTGACGTTTTCAAACTTGATCTCGCCGCCCTTGCTGAGCACGAGAGGCTTGGCATCTGGCTTGTCCTTGATAGTGACGTTGACCTTTTGCAAGTTGAAGAGTGTCTCCATGTCTAACAGACTCTGGCGCAGCTCGCGATAGACGGATCCGAGGAAATTGAGGGGCACAGAGAGCTGGAACACTAGCTGGTTCACCATCACCAAGTCGCCAACAGTCAAGGAACCCGAGGCCACGCCGGTGGCGGCCAGATACATCATCCCCGTCAGAGCCGACGAGAAGATGATATTCTGGCCACTGTTCAGAAACGCAAGAGAAGTGGCGACCTTTATCGAGTTCTGCTGGTACTGCTTCAGGGCGTTGTCGTATCGCATAACCTCAAACTTCTCGTTGTTGAAGTACTTGACGGCCTCGTAGTTGATGAGCGAGTCCACGGCCAGCGTCGACCCCTTGTTGTCAGCAGCGTTGGCCTGGCGCCGGAACTTGGTCCTCCATGCCGTCGTCCAGATGGTGAATGCGGAGTAGCCCGCCATTGTCAAGACTGTGATTGCCGCGAACTTGAAGCCGTACTGCCAGGTCAGGATGCCGCACACCATGCTGATCTCCAGAGCCGTGGGCAAGAGGTGGAACACCATGCTCGTCAGCAGGAAGCTGATGCCCTTCGTACCACGGTCCAGAGCCCTCGTCAACCCTCCGGTCTGCTTGGTGAGGTGGAAGTTGAGGTCTAGGCGCAGCAGATGCTCAAACACGTTGCGCGCGACGCTGCGTATGGCCTTCTGCGCAACGCTCGCGAAGACGGCATTGCGCAGCTCCTGGAAGATGGTCGCGCCGATCCTGGAGGCGCCGTAGGCGAGGATCATGCTCCCCGCCACGGCGCTCACGGTACCCCCCATGGCCGCGACGTCAATGTTCATCGAGTCCACGATGCTCTTGAAGTAGAAGGGCACCTGCACATTGAGCAGCTTCCCGCCGATGAGCAGGGTCACGGCGAGGCCGACGCGGAACTTGGTGCCCAGGTCGTCCTTGGGCCACAGGTACCGGGTCATCTCCTTCATGATGGCCCAGTCGGCCCTGCGCTGCTCCGTCGTCGACTTGTCGGGTAGCGCGAGAGGATCATTCTTGACGGTCGCGGGCTTCGGCGCTTGCTTGCTCGCAGCGATTTTCGCATCGGGAGAGGGTTTCGTGGGTGTGGCCGGCGTCGGCGTCGGAGTGGAGGTAGAGGCCTGCTCACGGCGAGCGGCAGAGGTTTGGAGGGGTTGGCCGTAGCCCAGGACTGGCCGCTGCGGATGCCATGACGGGCGCGTCTGGGTCTTTGCAAAGGTGTATACTGGGTGTCTGCAGGCCGATCGGTAGGCCAGCCGTGGAATCATGGTTAGATGCCAGGGCGAGAGGGCCGGCTCGACTCAATTCGTGCAAGGGGTTTGGGGGGGGGGGGGGCTGCTGGCGGCTTCAGTGACGACACCTACAACCCGCCACAACCGAAGGCTGTAGGTATTGCAGTCGCTGCGTGCTCGTTCAGCGCGCTCGAAAATCGCAGGTGACAGGTGTGGAATTTAACAGCGATTCAGCATTGGTACGGCGGTCAGTCTCATCGCCCTGCTGCCAGAGCTCTCCTGAGGTAATTTCTTGTGCGCCGCGGATATTGGGCCAAGCTAGAACTTTAAATAGCTACAGCTTCCGAGTGTCGTGTGCTGCTGTGCTCGGAGCCAAACGACTTTGAACCGCACAATGATGCAATCGGCTTATGGCCTTAGGCTCCATTTGCAGTGATGAGCCCCTGTGATGCACCCTTTTGGCTTCAATGCTCTGATCAGCAACTAAATCGTTTTAACCTCTTTAATATTTCTATCTCGCCTTTTTTCTACATTTGGTCATGTCGGAGTGAAGTAAACTCTTTTTGTTACAAATCTCACGGTCCCGAGCACTCCATGTACATAGCATACGTATATATATGCTTAGGTCAATATCTATAGAGCTTCCATCTGAGCTCTATTTCTCCCGTCGCAGCTTTCGTCTCCGGACCCATACCTTGCACTTGGATGCTGGCATTTTCGTCGGGCCCTGATTCACCGTCTTCACCGTTTTCCAGGGACCCTCCTCACCCACGGGGTGAAACTCGTACATGCTGATAATCGCCGAGGTGAACATGAGCAGCTCTCGTACCGCGAAGGGCCCGCCCTCGCTTATAACTAGTTGTCCCTCTGTTTGTGAAGGAAACGAAAATAATTAGCCTTGTATTCTTCGTTTACGCGACGCGGTAGGCTAGGAACCCGAGTAGTGAACTTACCGTGGGGTCTGATACTTCTCATGTCGACCGAGACGCTCTTGGCGCCCTTGGTGTCGACACTTTCCTTCAAATGCCTTTTGGCCTGCCATTCCTTGGGGCTCTCAAAGTACCTGGGGTCGTTATGGTGGGTGTCATGCGGAACATGAGCATACGTGCCCTTGAGAAGCATGCAGTTGTCGCCTGAATCCTTCTCCTTGAGCACCAGGTCCTGTTCCATATATTTGACCGACCATGCACACGAGTATACTCTCATCGTCTCAATGTAGGCCGCATTCAATAGTGGACAGTTTTGCACCAGAGCTTCGACGTCGAGAGTTTTGATTTCCGGGGCAAGCCATACGCCGGGGCCGAACTCGTTTTTGGGGTGTACCGCATCGACATGAGGTGTAATCTCCTCATGGATTTGCGCCAACAGAATGGGATCCTGGCTGATCTCATATACCATCCAGAAGACCAGAGTACTGGTTCTGGCATTCATGGCCCAAAGCAGAGCCAGGTCGCAGGATGCACGAACTTCGATAGGCACATTGTGTTTGCGGAAGACCATGGCGCGCTGCTTGATCAGGGTGCCGACATTGTTGATGTCCGACCACTCCAGACCTGGTTCGTGGCCTTCAAAGTACTTATCCAATTCCCGGTGAAACTCCCTCAAGTAGGTCAAGAGCCTCCTCCTGGCAATCATCGCTCTGTAAAGTGTGGAATCGGGATACCACCAGGACAACTTCATGGCCAACTTGGGGACGCCTCTATCATATTCCCAGAGAAGAGTTGCGAAATCCTGAAAATTGTCAACGAAATCAGAGCCGAACAGCCCCGAGTTGGCTGTTTGGGCCACGAAGTTCCTGACGAGCTCCAGCAGGTCGAGGTCGGCATAGATCTTGCCCGACGCGCCTTCCAGCACATCGGACCCGGACAACCGCTCCCAGTCAGATTGATCGGCTGGGAAGGGATTGAAAGTCACCAACTCGGCGATCCTGTTCTTGAGATTGATAGAGGCGATTTTGGTGGCCTCACTGAGGCTCGAATCCGAAAGAATGTACTTGAATTGGGCATTGAGCTCAGGCAGCACCTTGCGGTAGATCTCTGTGTGACGGCTCTTGAGGCCAAAATTGGACCGCATGAGGTTCTCTTGAGCCCATGCATCGCTGGCGACCGACTGTGGTTGGCTCATGAGCGTCGCCACCCATGACGGGCGGTAAATGACCGTATGGGTCTGCCAAAGAACAGAGAGAGAGAAGGCGCCCTTCGGATACTTGTTGCGAACTGAGGCGAGGAAGCCGTTGACCCTCAAAGCAAGCTGAGGGACGTGGCCTAGAAGCGGTACCCAGTACCCTTGTCTTGGGGGCCTGCGGGCGTCATCTGGGCCGGATTCCGACTTCCCGCTCAGTAGCCTCGTCGTTAAAAGTATCACCAAGACAGTAATGAGAACAGTTGCCGTCCTCGGCTCCTGCACTTTGGCGATGAGTGCCTCAGCGACCTCGCTCAGCTGTTGGGAGACTTGGTGGCTGGCCATGGTGCCGAGCCTCCGTCTGTCGTGAATTCGCGATGCTGTCAGCTGAAGGAAAAATCACCAGAAAAACCTGACCAAACCAATCAGAAAAAAACAAGATGCGAGATAAATGAGGCCAGGACTTGTAAATGATTAATAGGAAGAAATTGGGTTCATTGGATGTCAAGATACAGTGTCCAAAATACATGTGGCGGTGCTGGATTATTTTTAAGGGGCTTACTGCACTGTACAGCCTGCGCCACAACCAGGTTGGAAATGGGTGCAATCTGTCAACAACACTTCGTTAATTTTCATCTTTGAGCCTTGAAAAACCCATCTCGAATGGTGATGACCATCCTTGCGATTGAGTACGCTTATGCTGGCTTTCTTTTTCCCCTACCACAGAACGCGGATTGAGACATGGCAAAGCTACCATCTTCGGGGGTATCAATTCTCGATGTTGCTATCTTTCCAGCGTCTAATAACCAGCAGCGCAGTTCTAAAGTGTGTCTCGCTCTGCAGCTTCTTCATTCAGCCTCAGAACCTCTGCCCGTGCACCCACCCAGGGCTTTCTCTTCCCTTCATCAAAGATCCTCCAGCAAGCGCTGGTCAACAGACCGTCCATAAGTATCCTCCAAAACTTCCTCTCCGTCCACCAGAAGACCCATCCCTTCCATCCCCACCCAAGGCGATCCAGTACTCCTGTCCCAGCAGTCTTGTCTGCCCATCTGGTCCACTCCATTTGGGGCACTGATGCGGGAACAGGGCTTCCCCGTAGGGCTAACTTGGATACCCTCTTGTTCTGATTGTCCACCCACTTTTGCCTCTCAGCCGGCGGTGGGAGTTTCGATTTGCCCGCCCATACCTGGGCGATGCTCATACTCGCAAGGTCAGCCAGGAGGAAGGCCCCAGTGGGAAACCAGACGCAGCCCATGAACGCAAGTGTGTCGGGGGTCTTGAGCGAGAAGACATTTTGATATAGCTGAGGCAATGGGCGACCCCGGGAGCCTGGCGCCTCAAGCCAAGTTGGAATCTTCACCGTGCATGGGTCGTACTCGGTCTCCAGGATGCTCAAGTCGTTTTGGTATCCAGTACAGCAGATGACTGTGTCCGCTTGGATCTTTTCTCCGTCTTTGAGTTCGACCTCTGTGGGGCCTGTGAAGGCACCAAATCCCGAGACTGACTTTACGGCGCCTGAACGCAGGTTCTCGATCAAAGTATCTGACACTACTGGAACGGTGACCTTGGGAGAAGGGATTGGCTCCAGGTTCCATGATGGATCTAGCTCCCCAAAACTCTGTTTCATGACGTCTGCTGCTCCGTTGGTCACCAGCTTGTCTATCCAGTTTGGAAATAGCCCTTCCAAGAAAGCTTGCCCGTTTAATTTCCTTAGTGAGAGTAGGCGGGAATTGGGTTTCCCATGAACAAAGCGAGGTAGCTACTCAGGGTCAGCTTATTTCTGACTGTTCAGTTTGTTATCGATTGTTGGACCTACAATCAAGGCCCCACGTTCATGGGAGAGATATATTTCGGAGGCAGTTCCCGAGAGCGATTCTGCAATATCTCCAACCGTGTTTCCCAGGCCTACAAGCAAAACTCGTTTGCCCGCAAAGTCTTCCGCTCTAAAGAAAAAACCTCATTGTTAGTCAAATTCGGGCTGGGCGAGAAGTAGAGTAGAGAGGTTCAGGTACCATACCTTTTGAAAGCTTGCGCATGGACTATCTCGCCTTGGAATAGTTCCGACCCCTCCAACTCCGGCATCAGCGGCTTGGCATGAGGGCCGGTCGAAATGACGAGCCTGTCGAAGTATTTTGAAGGGCCAGTTTCGAAATCTAACCTCCACTTATTTGAGTCCCTTTCTCTTGCCGCCTGCTTGATCCTCGCATTAAGCTGAAAGCGAGGGCGAAGACCATAGTGGTCTACGTAGTCTTCTAGATAATCCTGCATGACCTTTGCGGAACAGAATGAGGGGGTGCCTGGATCCTTCAGTTAATCGCGAGTAAGACACCCAACAGTGCAAGAATCAACCCACCCTCAGGAAACGGAAAATCCGTGAAGCATCCCTAGAAAGAAGGCTTATTAGATTGCTGCCTGTGGCATGGGAACAAGCTCGAGCCCTGCGTGTACTCACTCGATCGGTAGTAACATTGATTTCCGTGTCTGTCGCCAAACATTGGTTAGCATGGCACCATCCAGCTTGTTCCTTTGGTTACTAATTTGCCAGCCTACCTTCCAACGCACTCAAGGTATCTTTGTCCTCGGTAAAGTGCCAAACACCGCCAATATAGTTCTGACGCTCAAAACCAGTAACATCGAAACCCTCCTCCAGGAGGTTTTTAACTGCAACTAGGCCCATGGCACCTGCGGTGATAAAGCAACCAGGTTAGTATACTGCCAGCAGGGAGCGTATAAGCCAGCCAAACATGTGCAATTTGATAGACATACCAAGGCCTATGACAGCTACGGTTTGGTGATGCGGCGCCGTCGTCGCCGCCATGGTCGCAATATGCTGCTGGTAATATTAAGAGGGATAAGCAACGGCGATGCACTGCATGGTGGTGAAGGACGAAAGGTTGATGGAAGACTGGAATGAGGAAGGGAGGTCAAGGTGAGCTTTTACGATGCCGCGCCGGCCAGGCCTTCCATGTAGGTACAGAGAAAACAACCTGACCTGAAGGGCCGAATCCAATCCAATCAAACCAAGCCAATACGCATCACGATACCATTGGACTTGCAACGCCATGAGCATGCGGGTCACGGCCAGAGGAAGCGGCAGGGGGTTCGGGGGATTCCTGCTGGCCTATTGTGGCCTCGGCCGTCAATAGGCCTGAGCCCGCTAAGCTCCAGTGCTAATTAGGCACTCGAGTCTACATTAGGGGATTGTGTAGGTGCACCCCCACCCCTGTATGACCCGGTGGTCCAATAGAGGCCACTGTTATACAGCACGATTACCTGCACAGAGCCGCTAGTCGCAGGAACTTCCGCTGTCGCCAAGCCCTGGATCTTCTTGTCCGTCCCGTTGTGACATGAAGGCTCATTCCGCGCCGTATGTTGCCTATTCCTGGCTTGTTTGGCACAAAAACAAAACACCTACGCGTATAGGTACCTACTTATATTGGCTCGACGGAGGTATAGCATGGGTTGTTCGGACGGTCGCCCTAGGTGCAACCCTATTTCGCCTGCTCACTTCTCACTTGCACCTGCATACCTTAGCCTAAGTTCCTCACTCAGTTGGATGTGCACGTTTGTCTTAGGCTACATAAGGCTATTGCTACCTCATGCACCCGCCTCTGCTTTGATGTCGGTTGACATTCAGCTTACACGACAGGTCATCTCGCCGTCTTTCTACTTGGCGCCGTGTGAGATTAAGCGAACGCCACTGGGCATTAGGCGCTTATGGCATATCACAAGTCCAGTTCCGATATCCATATCAGCAATATCAACCCTGTCCTCGAGTCTGAATCCATCGTATCCAACTCGAAAAGTCGAAAACCCATGTCCAGGATTAGCTGCACCTGGCCATGCATGCATGCCATTTGTTTTCCGCATGGCTCCTAGGTGGGCCCTCCGAAACCCTTGCAGGGTGTAACCAGGATAGCGGCGAGAACTCAGAACGGCATCCTGAGCGGAGGAGGAATGTGCTGCTTACGGGGCAATTGGACAATAATGCCAGCTGCTAGTTCAGCACACAATGTGGCGTCCATCCTGCCAGCCCAAGCCATGAATCAGAACACGCAGCCATGTGGTAAGAGACCCCGTTTCAGAATGCGGTGGACAAGACTCTGCCCAGACATCCGGCGCTCAAGTCAGCTGTTGTGTTACTGACGATGGGCAGCGGTGACAAGAATGGAAACGTCCCAACAAGCCGTACGGATACTTGGCATCCCTTTCGTCCAAAATTTCTAGAAACCCATAAATACTAACGAGTTGCCTAATGTGGGTTCATTATAGGCATTCCCAGCTTGGTGCGGGCGGTTTTATTTCCGCCAGATATCCCATCCATATCTCAGCTGGAGCCTCCCCAGAGCCTAGGTCAAAACCTGTCATAGTGCCTGCTGTAGGGCGGCCAAAAGTGCCAACTAACTCGTCAGCAAGGTCGAGGCCAGCGGCTTAGGTCTACATAGGGTTAAGGTAATCAGCATCAAGGAATGGAATGGCGCCTGAATTCACCAACCGCCATGCACCGTCATCAATACATACGCGACCTGCCTCCCTCCTTTGGCTGTTGCCCATCAATGGCGGGCCACGTTTCTTATGCCATTTACCGATTCAACGCCACGAAAATCAGTCCTCGAAATACCCCAGTATGGCCATCACATGAGGGCGCGTTTCATTGCCGTATCATCTGCAGGGTCTTGCAGCTGTTGGTCCTGGAAAGAGGCCGGACAATGTCGTGTGATCCGAACACTCTGCAGTAGCACGAAACTCAGGTTGTTCCCCTCCCCTTCGCTTGGATGTTCGGAACAGAAAGAGATGATTTCGATGCCCGACACATCCGGACAAACCGAACATTCAAGGTCTGTGCTTGGTACCGAAGGACTCCCTCCCGTTATCAGATGCCTGAATAGTCACTTGGCGACGGGCGCAGCCGATGTCATTCCAACGGTTTATCCAATGCCACTAAATCCCGGTGAAGAGTTTGTCATTATTGAGGCTGGAAAATTACTGTTGGTGCGCTGGCCCCGTCATGGACCAAGTACTTTGCAACTCTTTCAATCATGCTTGTAGTATTCTGGCCCTCTTACAAGCCAACCAAATCATGGCTTTTGTTAAAAGTATGTATAGAAGGTAAAAATCTGTAGATTTCAGCAGGGCTTCACAGCCTCAAATCCATTGGCCAAGACGTCGAGACTATTAAACTCAAGTATTGACTTCCCCTTATTGATGACACACACTTGTCGAATCAAATCCGCAATATTTCTCCATCTATGATATACAAAGGCTCATTCATGCACAGCAGATCATCTGACGTACTAGAAGTCTCAACGTCCTATTCTCCCCTGCTTACCACCACGAGCCCCGATGCGCCACGAGCTTTGCGATTTGCGTCAAGACTGTGCGCAAATTTAGATTTCACTTGTACTTTTCGGCCTTTTATAGTAAATGAGATATACGGGCATGGTGACAGCGAGGGCAAGGAATACAAGACTCATGCTGGCATAATCGAGATGCTGTGACTCTAGTGGGACGTTATTTTAACCTCCTTGGGACCCTGAACGTTAGGATCCTCACCAGTTCGACATCGAATCTTCACCTCACAGCCCAACATGATTGTAGAGCAACTCTCAGGCATAAACAAGTGAATGGCCTAGGCCACACCACGGAAGATCAACTGTCCTAGAACTTCTAGTTCCATGAAGGTGACAGCACACAAAGGAAGTCAACGATGCAGATTTACCAAACCCACAGGTCAAATTTCAACGGCTTAGAAGCGCTCAAATTGCCCTGATGTTCCCCAAATTGGGAGTCAAAGCTTCAGAATCTGCCCAATGTTGACTAAGAGTATGATGATCCTAAAGATGTCAACCAAGCATACCAGACGGATATTACATCCGAAATGAACCTACTGTAGGATAGGCTACCAGCCAAACTCTTCATTTTAAAGAGCCCAAAGCCCGCACCCAAAAGCGAATAAAATGAGGTAGATGACTTGTCCGACAGTGCAGATCTCAAACCAGATTCCTCGTTAAACAGTACAACTACCTTTGGCACGATCATTTGATATCAAATGCATACTTTGATTAATTTGACTACTCTATTTATTTTCCATAGAGGGGTTCCGAAAGCGCAAAAAGGCAACGAACATGAAGGCTTGGAGAAGGGGGAGATGCTTTGTTAAATGGGCAAAAAGAAATCGTACTCCGGTACTGGGAATCGAACCCAGGGCTGCTCGGTGAGAGCGAGCGATGTTAGCCACTACACCATACCGGATAAGTTACTGTTGGGTTACGGCGACCCCGCAATGGGATATCAATCTTCAGACAGCAAAATTGTCAAGTCGTACGTGATACGACAGCATGCCATTCCTTGGAAATGAGATTTTGTTGTATGTCTGAGGAAATTCTCACCGCTCGGTTGTTGGTTGAAGTTCCAGAAGATTCAAGTGTGTTCCAAAAAGATTGATCACAGTGTCTCCGGTGCAAGCCCCAACCCGGTGTGAACCAGATTTTGAGTGGACTGGGTTCAATGGTTATACAAGCGAGGAGCTGGTGCAATTGAAGAAGCGCAAAGTGGCCATGTCCTTATTTAAAAGTTAATCACGCATTGGGTTTAGATCCATAACCAGAATCTCAGCAGAGTGTACCGTTCTTTGATGCAGGTACAGATACGGCTGTAGCTAAGCCGAAGACAAGGCCAGGAGAATGAAAGCCGCGGAGTGACAGAGGTGGCAATAGGCTGGCAGAAACCTATGCGACATGAAAAGCAAAAGGGTATACTTGGATTATCATTCAATAGAGCCCTAAGATTCATTCGTTCGCCCGAGCTTCATTCAAAGTTCTGGCGTAGCTCTTACAATTACATAGATGTCCTTTGAATTCAGGAAGAGACTCGCAGGTATGCGTCGAGATGAGGCAATAAAGACTTCTTTCTTAGATTACTTTCCATTGTATTCGTTAATCATTGTCCATTACTTATTGATGTGATTCAGGGGGGCTAGGTACGCGACTTAGAGTCAAGTGACAGCCTTCCTTAAAGCCAACCAAGAGACAGTTATTGTACATCATGGTCTACCGTATTTCAACCAGCCAAGGCTCATTGCCTATAGTTTTAGCGCTCTTATTTGGATTCCAAATTGTGACCAACTCAAATGTCACTGCTGCACCAATGGCTTGAGTCGCGACAAGACAGAGACCTTATGTAACCAGCCAGTCCCAGGGTAGATCAAGAAGTGATGATTCTGTTGGATGTGAAGACGGAGAAATTCCAAAATATTTTCCAGCATTAATAACGAAGAACAGCGTAGTATCGCTGACGTGGCTGAGATTAATAGTCAATCTTCTCAAATCTCTAGAGTATGCTGACATCTTGATTATTGTACTCTTCTAATTTCAACTGCCAGTGAAATTTCAAAATCTTCGCAACTCAAAGGAATAAGGAGCTTGGTGGTAATCTGACCCTCAGTATACCTCGTAAACTGAGTAGTGTGCCAAGTCTTTCTGAGCAAGGTCTTGGACTCTCATTAATTGTAAAGCTACTCTTGGCTTCGTTGTTTTAGCACAACCCATACATTACGAAATGGGCACAGATCGTGAAAGTAGCAGGATTCATAGTAGATGACGGACAGTGTCTGGATACACAAACTACCTAGTTGGTATCGAATTGCTCAAAGGGTGGGAACAATTAGATCCTCCGATTGTACCATATGACCAATTTCTTATCACCGAAACAAGCTGTACTTTTTCCATACCGCGAATGCTGAGCACTAGCGTCCCTGCAGTGCATGTTATCGCTTCTTCATCGGGTCTGAATGTCACCATCATAGCCAAGAGATGAATTCCAGTCTTTGGCCAACTACGAACTTTCCCACTTACACGTATGTTGACAGAGATAGAGAGGGGTGGAGCTGATAGACCTCCAAGTTTCCAAAACCGAAAGACTCTTTTTGCTTCATATCTATGACTGCTGTATTGGATTTTGAATCTTACATTCCACTCGCCATTGTGACATTCCGCCAGCTCCAAAGCGTGCAAGGAAGAGGTGGCCAGTTCCCCCTTGCATGCCTCTATAACCTACCTAGGTAGCTTAAGTGAGTGTTAAAGGAACTGTAAATGGCTATCATCGAATTATGCTAACAAAAAAAATACTCGGCCTTATACTGGTGGAAACAGTTTTGAAACCCCCGCGAGGGTGGCAGAGGAGAGGAACGGAAACCGGCTCTAATCAAAGTTGTGTGCCAAAATCTTGCCAAAGGCCGATTGCCACATATTCGGCCATGACCAGTGTGCCCTCTCGATTCCAGTGTCAGATTCTTGATTGGTTGTCTTTCCTTGTTTTTCTGGTGGTGCATCTTGTGATTTAGGATTCGACGGAGCACTGGAATGCTTTCTCTTGTGGCGCATCTCAGTTCTGCGTCACTTGATTCGCATGGCTTTAACTGGAGTCATCTGGCTTCGCACGTGGGAAAAAGCCCCCCTTTTGACCGGTAACAGCACTGAAACCTTGGAAACGGCTTGACGAGGAATGGGGTTGACATCATATCGTCTTGTTGCCGCCCCTACATGCTCAACATGGCGGCGGGTGTCACCGCTAGCTCAGGGCAATAAACAAATACAATCTCAAGCGTTATGCCTTATAAACAAGGATAAATAGATATATGATATTTAATTCTTAATGCAGAATTGACCCTGGTTGAAAATATAAGAGTAGCAGGTTATCACCGTTGTATGTCTCCTGATAACTCACAACCAGCCTGATCGTAACTGACCCAGTAGCACACTAGATCTCGTCCACACTATGTTCTTCTCTAACGTCTTGGTGCAGAGTCTCCTTCTCTCAGGGGCTGGGTACTTTGCTTGGGCAAACCCAATCACTCGTGAAAATGGCGGACAAGTCGGCACTCCAATAGGCCACAATGTGAACGCTTCCGAATTCCCAGGCACTGTCCCTGAGGCTGAGATTAAGGTTGCCATTAATAACGCCGTTGTCAAGCCAGCTGCACCCAGTCTGACTAGTGATGAGACAGAGGCCCTGCGCTTGCATAACGCAGCCAGAGCAGGAAAGGGGCTACCACCGCTGGTGTGG